CCGTGCATTATTGCTCTGAGCCGTGCATTATTGCTCTGAGCCGCGAACTATTGCTCTGAGCCAGGAAGACTCTTATTTACCTACCTTCTGCTTTCTGGTAGTCATCACACGTCCCACAAGGACACTGGGTAAACACATCTCCTTCACAACACGTGCTATCTTTTTCTAGCTCACTCCCATCGCACCCAGCTCCACTCCCATCATTCTTTTCCTTGTTCGTCTGGCAGCAATAACCTCCGTTAAAGTAAGCATAAGGATGGGTTATTGTGCATCGATTCGGTTGCCTATGTATTTGCTGGTTGTTGACACAGTTCCCTCCTGTACACTGGATAAAAATATTTCCTTCACAACACGTGCTTTTTTTTTTCCTAGCTCACTCCCATCGCACCCTGCTCCACTTACACCATTATTTTCCTTGTTTGTCTTACAGCAATAGCCTCCGTAATAGTATGCGTACGGATAACACCTGGGACATTCGTTGGTGATGGCTTCCCTCTTCGCAAAATGGTTTCGCTCTTGAACAGCCCAGATGGAGACTGCTTTTGGTGTCATCTCTTCAGGTATCTCGACAGCACTCTCTTGAGAAATATGTAGTTGAAACAGGAGGACGAGTATCATCTTCATGGTCAGCTTCATTTTAGGAACATCCAACTGAGGCCCTTTTGACGTAGTCATATCTATAGAATGGTGTTAGTCAGATTCATTTTTATCTTGTCAATTTTAGGCAAAGCTATTTCATGTGGAAAACTCTTGCTTGGCTTATCCACACAGTTAACAAGGTGTCCAATGGGGATATAAGAACAACAAATAAACATCCTATGCAGGTCCGGTGACCACTTATATCAGAACATAAAAATATCTTCTGCACTGGTAATAAGCGCCAAAAGATGGCACTTAATGTTTTTCTCTCCTATCGCGATTTTAATAAATTTGGTACAAACAAAAATTTCGCCGCGGTTACACCACGCACGATCAAATTTCCCTACAATGTAATTGTTTTACTTATAGTTATATTGCATCCCAGATCGTTTTATTAATTATTAGGCGTGCAAAACTTAAAAACACTTCATATTTTGCGCAGTCGCGGTTTTGTTTCGTATAAACAATGCACACATCATGCTATTGTCACGTCCTATAATTATTGTATCGTATGCCAACCTTATTGACTGTTATATAATATTCTGTCTCATCTTAGTTATTGATTGTATCTTTAAACATAAACTAATACATTTTGATGCTTACTCGACACATCTACAGGCTACAGCACCATCGACTATCGAGCCTTTGATTTGATATAAGATACTTTATGATTGATTTTGGACACGAAGGGAAACACACAAATTTGGCTTGGAAACTTCGTTTATTACATCGCTAGAGCCTACAAAAAAGAAATAAATTAGTCAGATAAAATCAATCATAATACTCAGTCAAAGAGATTCAAAAATTTATAAAAAGGTCATGATTAGAGAATATCATGAAAGTCGATCAGAAATTGGAATACGATAAAATTGTTTCACTGATAGCGTGGTAGATAAAATTTATAAAGAAAAATGACGCAAAATTGGCACAAAATTGTTAAAATTAATTAATTACAGATATTGGTAAAAACCACAAAAAAACTACCTTTTAATTTCCATCCTATTTAAACCCCAAACATTAGTTCTAAACTTTGCACAAAATCTAGCCTCTTCCCTATCTAATAGGGAAGGTTTAGTCTTTTTCACAATCCCGAATTTGAAACAGTCAAAACTGAAAGTGTCCTTGTGTACATCGTAACAATGCATTGATAAGGCTGAGTGCTCGTAGAGGGCACGGTCGTCAATGTTGAACTTGTTCCGGTGCCCATTGAGCCTAATGTGGAATGGAGTCAACGTCTGCCCAAAGTAAGTGTCCTCAGATCCCTCAATAGCCCTACACTGCTGGCATTGTGCAACGTAAATAATGTGCTTATCTTTGCACGTGAGGGATTCGTCTAGATTAAGCTCCATGCCGTTGACCATGATCTTAGAGTCAAGATCGAACAATACCGGGCAAGTCTTGCATCCAGGGGCTGAGCACTTCTGTGATGTTTTTTGGGGACATTCAGCCTTATTTCCAAGTTGTCGATTCTTCACTACCCTGTTTCCGATTGAAGGATGTTTTCGTGTGGCAAATATCACACGTATATCTCCACATATCCTCCTGATGTCCGGTCCAAGTTCGTGAATCAACTTCTTCAGCTGAATGTTGTCCGAAGAGTGTTGTACTGAAAAGACTAAGTTATCAGCGTTCTCACTCTCCTTAGACCTGTTGGCTCCGTGGGTGTTCTCCAGTACTCTGACAACTGCTCTCGGCTCGATCTCCTCTAACTTAACGCTGTTATGTCCGCTTTTAGATAAATCTGCTTTCAGCTCCATTAAGTCTTCTACACAGGTTGAGTCTTGCGAGTTCCTTTCTATGATTCGTATCATCTGGGAAAACGCCACAGATTCGAATACATGGTGAGGATGAAAGCTATCCGTTCGCAAGTAATTCCTAGCATCTGTCTCCTTTCTGTAGAGTCTATATTGGATCTGGTTGTAAGTATCCAAGGTTAGAGTGATGTCAAGGAAATTAACAGTTTTACCGATTTGTTGGTCAGCAAATCTGATTCCAAATGGTTCTGCCAGTTTGTTCAGTTGCTCCACGAATAGATTGAACTGTCGGACTGTTCCTAACCACACCCCAAGTACATCATCAATAAATCTCCTCCAGAGGTCTACCAAACTCCAGTTTTTCATCTTTCCTTTGATCTGTTTAAACAATAGCCAATGCATCGTCACATCTGCCACTTGTCTTGAGATACAATTTCCCGTCGGGATACCCTCCTTGTTAATGTATCCCTCTCCCTGATAAGTGACAAAGGACTCCCGGAAAATCAGGTCAGTGAACTCATGCAAAGCCGCTTTTAGCTCTTGTGAGAAGTTGGTATCACTATTGAGGGCATCCTCAAGAGCAGTAAGCGCTAGTTCAGGCCTGATGCTAGGATATAATGCTGCCACGTCTAGAGTAAAGAGCTGCAAGTTTCTAGAAGCGCCCTTTAGCGTCTCCTTGTTGTAGCTGTTGATCTGAGAAATAATGTCTGGGGTATCCAAGATGAACTCCTCCTCACAGTATTTTCTGCTGATCTGAGTGACGTACGGGCTCACAAACTTCTCTAAACGATAAAGGGGCCCTCCTTTAGTTGCGTGAACTAATCTGACAGGTGGTATAGTCTTTGCCTCGATTTGTTCTTGAGATAGTTTGTGAACCTTGTATAAAGGGTACGCATATGGTATTTCAGGGCGGATTTCAGGTGCGTGGACCATGTTCCCCTTGTCATTTATACCTGTGATTCGCTTCTTTACCTCCTCAGAGATGATGTTCAGATGATGATGTTTGAGGACTGCTTCCTTCACTTTCAATTGAGTCTGCTCCATTTTCACTCCTACACTTATCTCCAATTTTGTAAATTTTGTCTCCTTCTCCAGTTCAGATTTAACTGTATCCATCACGGTCCTATAGTCCAAAAGCAGCGTAGCTCCACCTTTGTCCGCACTCGTGACGAATATACTTTGATCCTCTATTGATTTCAAGACCCAGCCCTTTCCTCTCTGTTCGGCATCAGTAAGGTTTGAATGTGGGTCGTCAGGATTTGGGTTTGTGACGAATCCCGTCAATCTTGTTTTGATTTCATCGAACAGGGGATGACTGTAGTCTTGCGGATGCCTTCTAGACCGTAGTCGCAAATCCTTGTGGATATCTTCAGTATCACCGGCTGTATCTGTTTGGGTTTGGTGGAAGTATGCTTTCCATTCCATCTTTCGCAGGAACTCTTTAACGTCAAAGAGTAAATCTTCTTTTGCTACTGGTCTACTCTCAACAAAGTTGAGACCTTTTGCTAAATACATGTACGCGATGTCCGGTACTTCTTGTGAAGAAAGGTTTATAACCAATTTACCCTTGATGTTCCGTTCCACATGGTTTTTCATCCACTCAACCTTTTTGGCGGCTTTTGATGCACGATATTTCTTTCTTTTCGCTCCTCTTTGGTCAGCATTCCGCAATCTTATTTGCCCATTGAATGTAAATGCAAAGTAACATCTCTTTTCAACTATGTATTTGCTGTTTACCATTCAGTGTCGAACTATTAAATAATCAGACGCAAGTTTATTATATCAGCTGATATCATAATTGTATTTGTTTTGAATTTTATCACTTGGTAATTCATTAAGCTTGTTTCATAAAAATAACACTCGAATTGATGATTGATCCGCTCAGAGGACTAGTACGCTAAATTGATGAATTAGTTATGAGAGTAAATTGTAACCAGATGGAAACCTATGTAACAGTCGTCAAACACCAAAAACTGGTTGCTATGCCTGTAATTAATTAACACATAACTGGCGTCGCGTTTGCAAAATAGACTCCTTTTATACACATAATTATAGGGGAGTGGTCTATATTGCGAAGGAGCAGACGTTTGTCATCACCGTAGGTCCGTCGGGCCACCTCTTATATGATATACCCAAATCCGATTACTTATTCCCTACGATCTTTTTGCCTTCGGCAAGAGTAGGGGAAAAAATTGTCTAAAAATGTAAATAACATAATTTCACCGTGAAATTTGCTGTTTTCCACTTTTAAACCTGTAACTTCTATAGTATCAATTGTTTTTAAAATGATTTTATTGGGTCGTTATTGGGTCGTCACTTCGACAAAAATTGAATATCATATGTTATTCAACTTAATAACTACCTAATTATATTCTTATTTTTTACTTTTTTGTGGACAGTCAGGTGGTTCACCGTTGTTTAGACCAGAGTTTAAGTTCCTTATTCGAAATAGCATGGTTTTTGTTAAAATCGTTGTGAACGTGGATCTTTAAGTATAATTCGACAAATTCGTGCAATAAGCTGAAAAATGGAAAACTCTATAACAGCAAATGAATTGATTGCAGTTCCGAATATCACTTAATTGACTAATCAATCATTCCATTTCAGAACAAGAAAGGTGGACAAGGTAAGACAGTTTTACTTTGCATAAACCAGTTAAACGAACTTTATTATAATTTAATCAGAATCAATTTTTCCTAATTACGTTAAGTAATCCTGCTCATCACACCCTAAATAAATAATTTTACGCCATCTAACTTGTGAGTAGGGTCAATCAAGCTGAGTTTTCTACGAAATTTGAATAACAAGTCGTTTGAAGAAGAAGAAGAAGAAGAAGAAGATCAGTGTAAACAGCAAGGTGCAATGTACGGGCTAAAGCACATTCATTAACTTCAATGTCAAGCCCAAGTTGCTAATAAGCTATCAACTTAGCACAAAAGTTTAGATTCAAAGCTTTTTAAATCACTGAAGATTAATCTTCAAGATTGGATAGTAGTTGGATAAGGTTATACTTATAGCTGTCGAAAATTATGAATTAATTACCACGACTGACACGGGTTTGAAAGACACGAAGGCTTAGACTTGTTACTTAGTTCATTCGGATATAAACCCCACGTAACTCATTTCATTCGGATCTAAAGCTCACTTAACCACACCACCCAAAGGTCGAAGACCAAGAGTCTACAATTATAAAATGTTGTATAAATCATGGTAAATTCTACAATCGTACGAGGCAGACAATACCGCTGTGTTCCACACAAAGAGATTTTTGTTAAAGAGAATTTTGTTATGACTTTTTTGTATCGAATTTTTGGATAAAGTTGATTGATTAAAAATAAATTAATGTACACAAATTTTGCCTCAGATATATGTTTTTTACGTTTTGAATTTTTAACACTTGTTTTTAGATCATGAATACGATGTAGTTACATTGAAACGTCGAGTAAACTCCTTTCCCTAATAAGAGCATTTTCACTTGTCGCAACAACCGGGATAAAGATAATTTTACACGGAATACACACAAAGAGATGTCTCAATGTAAATCCAAAGTGACTCTCCCAAAAGGGTGAACAGAGGGTGAACGATCACGCTGTTGTAATTAGTTCATTTAAAGTTGAGGAGTGGTGTTTATTCTTACAAGAAGAAGGTCATTACATATTACCTGTAATATATTAATATATGTATATGGACACGTTCATTGAAGTTTGAGGATATTGGTACATATTAGTGACCCTATTAAATGCAGACGTGGGCGCCGCCGCCGGTACGCCGCCGCCGCCGATAAATTCGACACGCCGCCGCCGCCGATAAATTTCGATCGGCGCGCCGAATGTCAAATTTTTGCCTAAACAGTTAAAAAAATGAATTAATCACGTACATCGAATTACGCAACGGATAATTTAATTTGGCCAGCCTCCAAGTCTTGACATTCGGGTGTTACAAAAGAATTTGAAACTACATTTCGTAACATCAGTTGTGCCGTTATCGTAGCCAACTATCTGCTTGTTGCTGAACAGAGTATAAATAGTTGCTCTTTCAAATCGTCATTCAATTTTGAAATGAACCTTAGCACACAAAGTGTACATTAGCTTATAAGATGTCAGTCAGTGGTACAATGACTATGTTGCCAAAAAATTGGTTCCAGCCGCCGATACGCCGCCGCCGCCGAGTGAAATACGGCCTCACGCCGCCGCTGCAGCATTTTCGGCGGCGCCCACCTCTGATTAAATGGCATGATGAGGTAAAATTTGTCACACTATGAAACCATAGAAACCCTCAATGGCTAGGATAATCGTCTCATCCTCTAGGCAAACTTTATCACATAACGATATCTTTATCAGATGATAAGATGTCGTTAAAATTTGGCCGGCAGTGAGTTGTAAACTTTGTCACACTATAAAAACGTGACAGAGTTTACATGGCCCCTTGCTGCCGTGTTTGACCTAATTTTCGAATTTCCAGTTCATAGGATAGTTGCATAGGACTATTAACTACATATTTAGCGACTTTTTTCGTTATATGGTAGCACCATGTAAACTCCGTCACACATTTAAGGAATTTATATATGAGGGATGTTTATGACATCCTGACAAGAAATGCCGAATAATCTAGCATTATTTTGTGAGCTGAATGTGTTGGAAATTGTTAACATATCTCATTGTTATAAGCAAATAAAAATACAGAAGGCAGAAATAGGTAAACTTTGTCACATATATTTGTATGATATCTCAACATGTGTGAAATTGAGCAAATATTAGTATACCAACTTAAAGTTAAACACCCTATATTACGTACTATGGATCAATAAACAATATTTCAACCACACACCGGTCATATAAATTATTACAAGGCAGTAATATGTTAACATTGGCAAAATTCTAACACCTGAACATGGTAAAAAATGTAAATTTCGTCACAAAAAAATATCACAACTTTATTTGCTCTTTGTTGGAGAAATAACTAGTTTATCGACATATGTATGGCGATAAAGAAACATTATATCCTAATCAAGGTATGATTCTTCAAAATAGGGGCAAGAAATGTAAATTTCGTCACATCAGTCATTGCATATTAGTTAGATAGATTTTCTTTCACATCAACAGTCCTTATTATAGTTGGAATGGATTTATACAGGAAATATAGAAACCCATGCCAGGAAAAGTGAATTTCGTCACATTTCGGTAACTTAGTAAAATTAAACTCAGAATTGTTAAACTTGAGTTCCGATTTGCTGAACAAAATCCTACCAATAATTGCGAAATAATGTTTTATGTCTAATATTGATGGTATCGGCCTTCAATCTTTCCCTAGTAAAATTTGGAAATCCTTACTGACACTGTTTCTTTCTGTAATCATTAAAAAAGGTGAGAAAACGGCAAAATTCCCGAACATCTATATACAGGTTTTTTGCAATGCAAATTTTTGAACATTTACGAACTACGCGACGATTACATCACAACAAAAAATAATTCCTTATCAAATTTGCTTACTGTGATAAATGCTATAGACATCAAAAAGGCAAGCAATGACAAACAAAACAACACCGCCTGCTACTGCTAGCCGTGTAGGCTAAAGAGATAGGTCGGCAAGCTAGACCCTGGCCACTTCCTTGAGACTCGAGCTGGACCCTGGCTAATGTTTAAATGGTATTGAGCAGCACCCATTTATGAGCCTCGTGTAACCTCGAGACTAATGTCAGATCTCTCATGTGAATTATAAATGGCGGAGGTAGCCTCCCTACTTAGGTATTGAGGTAGAGCCCCGGTAGAGCACGTGCCCCACATACAAACAAGCAAGCTAGTGGTGTCTCAACGAGAAAATAGTCCGAATTTCGAACGATTTATAATTTAACAGCTATATTTTATTTGGTATATTCGGAAAATTGGAAAAAGTTGTGTATTCTAGAAAGAAAACAAAATGTGTTACTTATGAAAAGTTACGTAACAGTCAGACTAAAAAGTGTTACAAAATCCCTCCCAGAAGAGTGTTCAGTCAATGATAAGGGCTCGGATTCTGACATATATGAGTGTATCGACGTTGACAGTAAGAAAAGTGTGATTTGTGGTGGTTAATTTTCAAGTCGCGTGATTTTTCGGTGACGTCACGTGATTTTTACGATGGTTTTATGTGATTGTATGATGCGTGATGTAATTCTGATGACGTCACGTGATTTTTTTGGTGCTGTGTTTGTTTGCGGTGCTGTGATTTAAATATATACTTTTAATCTTTTCTGTTTCCAATAATCATTAGATAATTTGCACGACAGTTATGCGTTGGATCGAAATTGATTCGTTTTAATCAGTTTTCGGATTTGACATCAAGACAACAAACAATTCGGTTTTCATCATGTATGAGATAAAATGTCAAAACATTTATTTTGCTCTTTACACAATTTTACTTGTAACAGGACGTCTAGAGATTTAAGTAAACTCGATATCTTTTTACTGTTTGGTTGTTTGATTGGTACTCCTTTTCCCTTGCCTACGTGTTGCCCAGTCAGTATCAGATTCTAACTCTTTAGCACTATATTCTTTGTTGGACTCATACATCGCTACTTGTTACACCACTAAATTCATCATCACCACTACCTGGTACATCAGAGTTAGAACCACCTTGCTGAGATTCTTCAGAAAACTATTGTATCAGCATCTGAAACATACAGAATCAGGACCCTCCATTTTGACATCAGTCACATCTGAGTTAGCTTTTGACAGCGGCAGTAGAATTGCAGAACTTTCATCTGACTCTCGGTTCTCTCGATGATACCTACTAATGTGTGAGGACAGACTATATTTATTGGCAAAAGACTTGTCACAGAATGAGCAGGTTACAGAATTCATAGCTGCAGTACAAACGTTTTATAATGCTATGCAACAACCATTATATAGCAATATCGCATAAAATCGCAAATAATCGCAAAATAATCGCATATAATCGCATATAATAGCATATAATAGCATATAATGGCATAAAATTGCAAATAATCGCATATAATTGCAAAATAATTCCGCAAAATAGCATATAATAGCATATAATCGCATTTAATCACATATATAATCACGTATATTATCTCTTAAAATCACATTTTATTATTTATACTCGCAAATAATTGGCATATAATTGCAAATAATCGCATATAGTAGCAGGGTGAATATGATCCAACGTATGCATTCAACCTATTAAAGATCTTTTCAAAGATTTATTTTCATGCTGATTGCCAAGCATCATCCTGGAGATGGAACTGTAACTCTTGAGTCTACCAAAGACTGCACCCAACATGTAGGAATACTTCCTAGTGGGGACTTTAAAGGACCACACCAGACAGGACAAGGAGATCATGGTAAATTCTACGTCAACTAGTCAGACGGAGATCATCTTCGAGATCTATCACTTTCTGGATTATCATTCATAACCAGTAGTCGGCGCACCATTGATTTCTGCTTTCAAATGATAACTGCTAATACTCTTGTCGATTTTATTGCTCAGAAACCAGCATTTGACCGGGACCGGGACCGGGAATAGCTCAAAATTGTCAATCCCGGTACCGGGATTCCCGGTACCGGGAATCCCGGTCGATTACTGGTGCATGCAACTGGCCAGGTTTAGGTATCAGGTGATTTTTCCTGCAATTTGGTAGTTGTGAAACATCACCTTGGATTTCTGTTGTCACAAAACGTACCTTTTTAGACCTTTTCTCAAAGCATATAATAGCATATAATAGCATATAATCGCATATAATAGCATATAATAGCATATAATAGCATATAATAGCATATAATAGCATATAATAGCATATAATAGCATATAATCGCATATAATCGCATGTAATATCATTCGATCACATATATAATCCATTGGGTGGGCGAAAATTGTCCCCCCGACAATTGACCCCCGATAATTGACCCCCCGACAATGTAACTCAATACAACATCACCTCATACCATACTCCTCACGGTTCTCTTGATCTAGGAAGAATGCACCTTTGTTGTGGTGTGCCGCACTCCACATGGACAAATCTCACGATACTCTTGATCTAGGAAGGAGGTACTTTTGTTGTGATGTGCCACACTCCACATGAACAAATCCGCTAAATACTGAATAAATGCCGAATACTGAATGAATACTGAATGAATACTAAATGAATACTGAATGGATACTGAATGAATACTGAATGAATACTGAATGAATACTGAATGAATACTGAATGAATACTGAATGAATACTGAATGAATACTGAATGATTACTGAATGAATACTGAATGAATACTGAATGAATACTGAAAATAATCGCAAATAATAGCATATAATATCATATAATAGCATATAATAGCATATAATAGCATATAATTGCATATAATAGCATATAATAATAACATACAATCGCATTCGGTAGACTCAAGAATTACAGTTCAATCGCCAGCATATAATTGCATGTAATAGCACATAATATCATATAATCGCATATAATAGCATTATATAATATCATATAATCGCATATGATAGCTTATAATAGCATATAATAGCATATATAATCGCATTCGGTAGACTCAAGAGTTATAGTTCCATCTCCAACATATATTCATATAATCGCATATAATAGCATATAATATTTTATAATCGCATTTAAATGAATACCAATGGTCGTTACGTTTAAATAGATAAAATTAAATGTTTTAAAAGAGCGATCCATCTGGAGAAGTAGGCTAGGCGGGATTTGAACCCGCATTGTCCTGCATAGGAAAGTTGCCGTTAACTCACTAACCTGAGGCTCCAGATGGACCGCTGTTAAAATGAAAATATGAACATGTTTAACAAGATCGTTACGAATATCACGTGACGGATGATATTATAACGTACTTGCTTCTTATTGGTCAATTAACTTGTCACGTAACCTTGACATTTCATTTACGAGCTTCAAGTCAGTTTAAAATAATACATTATAGTTATAAATGGCTATGTGGCACAGTTCGTTAGTCTGCCTGCTTGTGAAATGTCTCGCATTCACAGGGTCCCGGGTTCGATTCCCGTCTGTGCCACTAGCTATGGGGAGAGCATCTGAATTTTCCAAGAATCTATTCATGTGGAGTGTGGCACACCACAACAAAGGTGCATTCTTCCTAGATCAAGAGAACCGTGAGGAGTATGGTATGAGGTGATGTTGTATTGAGTTACATTGTCGGGGGGTCAATTATCGGGGGTCAATTGTCGGGGGGACAATTTTCGCCCACCCAATGGATTATATATGTGATCGAATGATATTACATGCGATTATATGCGATTATATGCTATTATATGCTATTATATGCTATTATATGCTATTATATGCTATTATATGCTATTATATGCTATTATATGCTATTATATGCGATTATATGCTATTATATGCTATTATATGCTTTGAGAAAAGGTCTAAAAAGGTACGTTTTGTGACAACAGAAATCCAAGGTGATGTTTCACAACTACCAAATTGCAGGAAAAATCACCTGATACCTAAACCTGGCCAGTTGCATGCACCAGTAATCGACCGGGATTCCCGGTACCGGGAATCCCGGTACCGGGATTGACAATTTTGAGCTATTCCCGGTCCCGGTCCCGGTCAAATGCTGGTTTCTCATAAAATTAAAAAGGTGAGGAAAACGGCAAAATTCCCGAACATCTATATACAGGTTTTTTGCAATGCAAATTTTTGAACATTTACGAACTACGCGACGATTACATCACAACAAAAAATAATTCCTTATCAAATTTGCTTACTGTGATAAATGCTATAGACATCAAAAAGGCAAGCAATGACAAACAAAACAACACCGCCTGCTACTGCTAGCCGTGTAGGCTAAAGAGATAGGTCGGCAAGCTAGACCCTGGCCACTTCCTTGAGACTCGAGCTGGACCCTGGCTAATGTTTAAATGGTATTGAGCAGCACCCATTTATGAGCCTCGTGTAACCTCGAGACTAATGTCAGATCTCTCATGTGAATTATAAATGGCGGAGGTAGCCTCCCTACTTAGGTATTGAGGTAGAGCCCCGGTAGAGCACGTGCCCCACATACAAACAAGCAAGCTAGTGGTGTCTCAACGAGAAAATAGTCCGAATTTCGAACGATTTATAATTTAACAGCTATATTTTATTTGGTATATTCGGAAAATTGGAAAAAGTTGTGTATTCTAGAAAGAAAACAAAATGTGTTACTTATGAAAAGTTACGTAACAGTCAGACTAAAAAGTGTTACAAAATCCCTCCCAGAAGAGTGTTCAGTCAATGATAAGGGCTCGGATTCTGACATATATGAGTGTATCGACGTTGACAGTAAGAAAAGTGTGATTTGTGGTGGTTAATTTTCAAGTCGCGTGATTTTTCGGTGACGTCACGTGATTTTTACGATGGTTTTATGTGATTGTATGATGCGTGATGTAATTCTGATGACGTCACGTGATTTTTTTGGTGCTGTGTTTGTTTGCGGTGCTGTGATTTAAATATATACTTTTAATCTTTTCTGTTTCCAATAATCATTAGATAATTTGCACGACAGTTATGCGTTGGATCGAAATTGATTCGTTTTAATCAGTTTTCGGATTTGACATCAATATTTACTATTTAGTGGTTTTATTACTTCAAATTAAAGGCGAAGTTGTCCAATAAGGCATGTGCAGATACTATCATGCTGAATGACTGAGTCACACCATACCTGAATGACTGAGTCACACCATACCACTCACGTTTCATATTACCACGTGTTATTTTAAAGTGTTATAAAATCACATGCTATGACGTCATGTGTTGACTGCAGGTAGCTCGCCGGAGCTCGAGACTCCGACATTTGACAGCAGACTGAATAAAAACGACACGCTCGGCAAAGAGTGGTGGACATTGGCTCCAGGAACTAAACCTGACTTTAAAAACTGGACTGACGGTACAAACATTATATGACTGATTACTAAGCACTATAGTAACTGCCAGGTTATTACTAATAAGGTTACTCGCTGGTGAGCCTCAGTCTTAGCTTAACAAGAACTTTACTCCTGACCGCTGACCGCAATGATAATTATAACCTAAATCCCTGATAATTTCCAGGGATGGTGTGAATTGTGTGTTCAAGGCTGCACAATAGCTAAAGCATTCAATTGAAGCCACATTTTTTGTTCACCTCATGTTAGCTTACATCGCACTAATGAACACTAGCCCCGTTTTGTTATAAATTAAATACAGGGTGTACCCCATAAAGTGTGACTTATTTGGAAAAATAATAAATAATTTAATGAAAGAGCAATTGCCGAAACTTTTCATCACAATGTATGAAATTTGTGCACACCAAGTTTCAAGTCTATATCATTACTTGATTTCTCACAAATTGCTGTTCTGTTATGGTGGTACTTCAGGAACTTAAGCTTACTGTAATTAAGGGGTCTCATAAAAATGTGAATAATAACAATGAAGTTTGACTTTGTCAATTATAGAAGTGGAAAAAAGTCAAATTTAATATGCGGTACACCCTGTACTTCAATGTTCAAATTATAAACATAACGCTAACCCCAAATTCCTTACAGCTCCAGACTCTGGTATAAGTGACGGAAGAGACCAGACCCTTAGCGCAGAATGGTGGACTTTGCAGAAAGGTGCTCAGGCTCCAAACCTCGCGGACTTCGCCAGTGGTTAGTTTCGCTCGGAACTTATCAAACGATCGTTTTTGATAATAATATTTTCGTTTTCGACGTTGACAATAACAAATATGTTGGCTCCTTTTAGACCTTGTGGCATCTTTTCAACCGCATAAATTCTAATAGCTTTATAAATTATTATTAAAACCTACTTGGTTAGATGACGATGATGTAGAAGATGTGTACGATAATATAGAAGAAATCAACAAAGAGAGCATTCCATCTGACGAGTCAGAAGAGTAAGTAAAGTCAACTAACACTTACTTAAATTACATTATCTTTCTCATTATCAGTTGTGTTTTAAACGGAACAGTTGGTAATATCAAGATAGTTACCGGCAGTTTATTGAGCTGGATCTGTTAGAGTATTGTTTTATAATGAGGTATTATATCAGTCAATATGTGGAAATGGACACGTACCTAAACATAGCAGACTATAAGGCACTGACAGACAAACAGTCAGACAAACAAACAGACAATCATACAGACAAACATACAGACAATCAGACAGACTTACCGACAATCACAGATAACGACAGTGAATCTGAGGTCACCATCACCCGCTCCGTTACCCCTAACACATTCGGAACAATGTTGGACTCAGACTTTACAATACAAGCTTCCATATTTGAGGATGGGAGTGAGGTGGTAGAGCGGGCCACTCCCCCACTCCTACCTGAGAGGAAGGGGCGCGCTCCACTCAGAACAAAGAGTACTTCACCAACTGTTCCTCCTAAACCAGATCTCAGTGTCATCCTGCCTCCTAAACCCCCTCCCAAACCTACCAGGTTACAGTGTAGTGGTTAACACCCCTGCTTTCCTACCAAACGTTTAAGTGTCAGAATCTGTACCTGATCGTATATCTAACAATACCCAATTTATAAACCGTTAGATCTTGGTCGTGTTAATACATATTACTGACTTAGCGACTGATCTTGACAATAACATACTGACCGTAATGTGTAAATGAATAACAAATAAAACCTTCCTCTTCACAGGGAGGAAGAGATAAAAGCTCCCATGATAATCAGACAGTCAGATCAGCACCAGAGGAGACCACCCCTAGCTCCTCCCAAACCTCCTGGTTAGTAGGACAGAAAAATTACATATTCTACTATATTTAAAGTTTAAGGGTGATACTACCCCCTGAGTTTATGGAGTTACAATTATATAAGGTTTCAAAGCAACAGGTTATTTTTTACCATGGTAACCATGGTAACCGTGGTTGCAGATAGAGCAAAGTACACGAAGTCTCAGTCTCACGACAAGTTGGAACTCCCAAAACTCTGCTCTCACAAAACATCATTAACACGTGTTCGCAGTACTCCTACCAGTCCTTGTAATGAGTATGACGGTGCGTTGTCGTGGCACACACAATGCTGGTCATTGTATTCGTCATTTATGGTGGTCATTGTGATTTGTGGTCACTACTCACTAACTGTGGTTATTGTGGTTACTACTCACTAACTGTGGTTATTGTGGTCACTACTCACTAAGTGTGGTTATTGTGGTCACTACTCACTAACTGTGGTTATTGTGGTCACTACTCACTAAGTGTGGTCATTGTGGTCACTACTCACTAACTGTGGTTATTGTGGTCACTACTCACTAAGTGTGGTCATTGTGGTCACTAACTGTGGTTATTGTGGTCACTACTCACTAACTGTGGTTACACCTGTCAGTGGTCGCTGTGTTAGGGTAGATCTGCTGAAATTGATGTTTTATGTCTAAAGATTCACAAGTTTCTACTTTTCTAGCACACTTAATTCCATTGTTAGTCATTGGAGCATTGGGCTGGATGTTATTAAGATTCTCGGCTTATTTTAGTGTACTCAGGTATGTACAGTACTCCAGCGCTTTAACTGTGATTCAATTTTATAGCTCAATGTGGGTACTCTGTACATATAATAATATATGGATATCGATTATCGGATGATAAAAGCATTATTGAGGACCTTCGTCAATTGAAACGGCTTTCAGTCTTATATTACTAAATTGGATTGTATCCCTTCGTGTAGCTGACCTTCAATTATCCTTCCAGAGATAGTGCGACCAGACTTTCCTCCTGAAGAAGTGAACTTACTAGTGCAGAATCCTATAGTTGAAGGTAAACTTTGAAATCAAATACTTTCTCTTACTCCTGGAGATAATAGTGCTATCACGTTATCACTACAACACCCAGTAACCATGACAACCCCCAGTTACCATGACAACCCCCAGTAACCATGACAACCCCCATGCCAGTAACCATGACAACCCCCATGCCAGTAACCATGACAACCCCCATGCCAGTAACCATGACAACCCCCAGTAACCATGACAACACCCAGTAACCATGACAACCCCCAGTAACCATGACAACACCCAGTAACCTTGACAACCCCCAGTAACCATGACAACCCCCAGTAACCATGACAACCCCCAGTAACCATGACAACCCCCAGTAACCATGACAACCCCCAGTAACCATGACAACCTCCAGTAACCATGACAACCTCCAGTAACTATGACAACACCCAGTAACCATGACAACACCCAGTAACCATGACAACCCCAATAACCATGACAACCCCAGTAACCATGACAACCCCAGTAACCACGACAACCCCAGTAACCATGACAACCCCAGTAACCATAACAACCCCAGTAACCATGACCACACTCAGGTTCGTTGTACGTGTGTGTGGCACTGTACGAGTATAAAGACCTGGAACACAGCAGTGAAGCGTGGTGCGCGCCCGGGTTTAGAGTAGATGTTGTAGAGGAGACGAATGAGGACTGGCACAAGGTACCAATCATTTAAAGTTGATTATCTAACTAATAATCCCAGAATGTGTGTTTTCTGTCTGTCTGTCTGTCTGTCTGTCTGTCTGTCTGTCTGTCTGTCTGTCTGTCTGTCTGTCTGTTTGTAATTTCTGAGCGGCTTAATCAAGAAAACGGTAAGAGTTGCGGGACTGATTTTTTCGGTAAAGTGCCGACAAAACTCTGACGAAGTTAAATGATAAAGGTTTTTTAAATCGGTCGTTGGTAAGTGGTTTAATTGATGGTTTTGTACCACAAATGTTACATAAAATGCCTTGAGCAGAACGGTAAGAGTTACGGGGCTCGCATATGTAGCTGCATAATTAGTGTAATTGAGTTACCCGGGTAAGATTCGCTGTCTATACTATAATCTCATTAGGGGAGGGGCACTGTTTGGACTGCAGAGAAAGAGTTCATACTTTCATACGACAATGTTATGCGTGTTCACAAATATGATAGGCGGGTGTGGTGTTAAGGGTTAATTTCTATTGATTATTGTTTAAGATACTATTACTATTGTTTAAGATACCATTGGATACGTGAGGGCACTCCGAATAGAATTGCTCACCTAATGCGGGTTTTGACTCAACGGGTAAATGCTCCTACCCTTTTAAACTGCGGCAGTGAAATCCCGGCCGAAGGCCGGGTTACACTAGTATTATATTACCATTCCGTAGATATTACCATAGTTGAGATTCTCTGTATCTGAAATCTCATTCTTTTTCTGCAGAGCGAGATTTTGATTTATATACTAGTGTCTTGTTCTGAAAATGTTCTGAAATGTTTAAACATTAAATATATTTGTTCCTATCAGGGGGTGTGCAACGGGCAGACGGGATATTTCCCCAGCAACTATTTAGAGAAGATTCCAGAGAGAGGGGCTGTGTTGCGCTGTTTGTATGACTACCAGGCCCAACGTCCTGATGAGCTCACCATATCTGCTGGACAGGTACTTTCTCTTTCTCTTTCTCTTTAATATCTCCATATCTGCTGGACAGGTACTGCGTCTTTCTCTTTCTCTTTAATATCACCATATCTGCTGGACAGGTACTTTCTCTTTCTCTTTATCTTTAATATCTTCATATCTGCTGGACAGGTACTGCGTCTTTCTCCTTCTCTTTAATATCACCATATCTGCTGGACAGGTACTTTCTCTTTCTCTTTCTCTTTAATATCTCCATATCTGCTGGACAGGTACTGCGTCCTTCTCTTTCTCTTTAATATCACCATATCTGCTGGATAGGTACTGTCTCTTTCTCTTTATCTTTAATATCTCAATATCTGCTGGATAGGTACTGTCTCTTTCTCTTTCTCTTTATCTTTAATATCTTCATATCTGCTGGACAGGTATTTTCTCTTTCTTTTTATCTTTAATATCTCAATATCTGCTGGACAGGTACTGCGTCTTTCTCTTTCTCTTTAATATCACCATATCTGCTGGACAGGTACTTTCTCTTTCTCTTTATCTTTATCTTTAATATCTTCATATCTGCTGGACAGGTACTTTCTCTTTCTTTTTATCTTTAATATCTCAATATCTGCTGGACAGGTACTGCGTCTTTCTCTTTCTCTTTAATATCACCATATCTGCTGGACAGGTACTTTCTATTTCTCTTTCTCTTTAATATCACCATATCTGCTGGACAGGTACTTTCTATTTCTATTTCTCTTTAATATCACCATATCTGCTGGACAGGTACTTTCTATTTCTCTTTCTCTTTAATATCACCATATCTGCTGGGCAGGTACTTTCTATTTCTCTTTCTCTTTAATATCACCATATCTGCTGGACAGCCGACAGGTACTTTCTATTTCTCTTTAATGTTAATTTTTTACTATTAGATTAAAATACAATTTTATTCTCGCACTTGTAATTTTAGTTCTGACTTACATTTCTCATATATTTCTCATATTCAGGTGATATTTCGTCTAGAAGATCAGAACAACGGATGGATCTACGGGAGGATCCGAACTAACAGAGGCCTCTTCCCTGCTTCCTACGTGGAGGAGTTAGTAGACTTCAAGTAGATTACTGATAGAGATAATATAAGGTTTATCAGATACAGGGATCAGCCGACTGCTTTTAATTAGCTGTTTAGCTGCGCGAGGGACCTTATAGAGAGTTTATTTTGTTTTATTTCACTTTCAGATGCATATATCACATGACATAACAGGGGAAGATTCATTATTTGCTTTAAACTTTTGATAATATTAATTAATTCAACAATATTTTATAGCGACAAATCACCTAGGGTGTATTCTGCATGATATTTTTATATGTATATCTTTTTATGACAACACTAGGGCTATGGAAGTGCATGAATTTCTTATCATTTACCTGGAAATTTGACCAAATCAATGACGAAATGATATTATCAGAGTTATTAAAATACGAATTGCATGACCTCCATCATCATATGACTGTTAATATGTAATTATGAATTTAGCTTTGGACTTCTTCAATTAGGGATACACAGATGACATGGTATAGAATTGGAATGGCACTTATTAAGAGAGATTGTAGGATTGATATGGAGAAACATTTAGGCTCGAATCAGAAACTTTTGAAAATTAATCAGCTTTTGGTTTGAAATTGCGTGATTTTGCATATATTTTGGATATATTATGATGTATGGAATTCCTATGAACGTGGCGGTGTTTTCCTTGATTCCTTGATTGTTAACTACTACAATGCTAATTGAAATTGTATGATATGTTTTCTGATTTTGTTTGACAATACATGTTTTGTACGATAATATAACTTCTAATTTCAAATAAAGTTAATTTCAGTTATCAGGAGCCTTTTTATTACGTTTGAGAAAAATTGCAAATCTCTTGAATACCCTGATGGGTTGGGAGAAATATTGAAACCTTGGTTTTTTAGACTGAACTTTATCAACAGGTTTTAATAAGTTAATGAGTGGTTTCACAATTCACATAACCATGTAATGAGCCTTCGGCGCGGCGGGCGCGCGCTACTTAACAAGCGCTCTGGTTAGAGCAAAAGAGTGGTCCTACAGTTAAGAGATTTTTAGCACTTGATAAAAGACGGAAGTAGAAACTAGAAATAGCAAGTAGAAATAATTAAGAGAGAATAATTGCAGTCAGGATTTTGGAAGGTACTTTCGGTATTTCGGGTATTTTCTGTATTTTATAAGATTGAAACTATAAAGACCAACCACAAGTTTTATTATGGGATGAAATTATTCTAATCAATATGAATTGTATACAATATGAATTGTATACAATATGAATTGTATACAAACTTCAAAAAGTTTATACTGTTTAATACTTTAATATATTAAAGTATTAAACATTATAAACTTTTTATTAGACATTTATAAGATATTAAGGTAATCCTAATAACCGAAAATAATAAACAATAATTAACCGCGTAACCATGCTAATAACACAGTTTCATTAAATCATGAACACTTCAAGTATTACAAGAAAACGACTAAATATCATAATCAATAACTATGATAGAGATAATAGTTAATAATAAACTTATACTCATTGAGTAGATTAAGATACGTAGCGTATTAGTACTATAAAAGTATAAAACAGTATATGAACAAATTGGACATGAAAATGTAGCACAGTTTCTTAAATAGATTTGATACTTTAAAGATACTTATATTCATAAATTTTGGTTAGTTTTGGTACATTAAAATGGCTTGAAATTTTATTTGCAGATACATTAAATAAATGAAACATATTCAGACATATTCTCTATAATCATAACCCTCCTGTATTGACGATATATTATTCATTATGGAATAAAGAATAATGATACAAAATTGTAAAATCTACTACCACAGACCAAACAATCGGTATAACATCCCTACCTGTTTAATACATAAGTAGCAGTTTTAATAGTTCTAGAAAACATAGTACTATTAACAGCTGACTGTTTATTGCATTTCTACTTGTATCACGTTGCGACCCCCACGGTCGTTTCACTATGGTTTATCGTCCTGACGATACAGGGGGAGCCGCGCACTTCGTGCGCGGCGGGTCATACAACGTATGACAAATTTCTACAGGATGGGCCACAAATTACAGACCTTCTCTAGACTGCTTTAGTTTGGTCATTTCAAGTTCAATCTTCACAAACTTGGTCTTATCTTGATGCTTAGATGAATACTTTTTGGAATATTGTTGATAGAAAGCCACTAGTTAGCACGCCATTCAGGGGAGACTTTCCTCAAGGGGTATAGTCCGTGACCCTCAAAACTGTGACCCTAAAAATCATGATAATAAATAAAAATTCTTTATCGAAGCTTCAAGAAAAGACCAAATTTGTAAAGATTGGACTTGAAATGACCAAACTAGAGCAGTTTAGAAAAGGTCTGTAATTCGTGGCCCACTCTGTACTTGTAGTTTATCTTCACCGTTGTTGTGAGTTTCACATTGATACACGACCCTTTGAGATAACTGAAACATGAAATTCGGTGTCAGAATAAATGTACAATTTGACAATCCAGCCATGGGTCTTTAAAATTTTAAATAACTATCCTAAATCACAAAATATGATAGGACAATAATTGTTATATCAACTGTTAAGAATTGAATAGTGAAACACAAATGGAGTTTCATCACTCCGCAGTATCCCCAAGGCTCAAGGCGAAGTAATTTTAATCACGATAGGTGGACATATCAAATATCTCAAACTTTCCATTTCCAATACCAGTTGATTATGGCTGATGTAATACACTTCACAGTCGGGTAAATTGTTAGAAAATAAATAAACGAACATGAAAATTGTGCTATCGATTACTTCAGCTAGAGCTTTATCAATCCACGAATCGATGATCAACAGTGAAAATACAAATAATTTTCAAGCTAATTTATTGATTGATTGAGGAACACTACCAGGAGGCATTACTCGGCACTAAAAAATGCAGGTTAAAACCTGAATATCACAATTATTTTTTATTCATTTAAAATGCTTTACAGTTACACAATGAAAAACATTTATCTATGTGACGTCACACCACGTATTATGACGTCACACCAAGTATTATGACGTCACACCACGTATTATGACGACACATCAATCACGTGTTTACTGATACTATAAATTATTTTTTCTCTAAAACATGCTGACGATGAAATTATTGGAACAGCTTAACAAGGAGACTCACTACACGCTTGAAAATTAAGCACTTGAGACTTTTATAGTGGTGTCTTCATCATCCGGTAACTATTAACATTAGGTGAAATAGAAAAATGGCAAGAAAGCGTACGGAGTTTTTTCGTTTGGCAAACGAATTTGCGGCACAAATTTATTTGCCGTCTATATTAAAAGTCTTGTAATAATTGTAGCATTATCAAACCAAGAAGTAAGTTACCTCGAAGTATGGTGCCTCGTTGATGTACATTTTCCTCTCCACTTTCTCACAAATTGGCACACGGATCAACAGTCCTGTAAGGATAAGTTTTATACTCATAATGGTTAGATTATTTGAATAATTAAACATATTAATGCAGAATACTTTTCATACAAAGTTACAACAAATTTTTCATGTTATGTATCCTGGGTTTGGACAGGATATTATCCGCTTAAAATATTTCCATCGCGTTTATAAATAATATTGAAATATAATATGTTTACAATAAATATGCAATCACAACATTATAATCAACAAAATAAATTTAATCACAGAATATATAAATATGTTATTTATAATAATGTTTTTAATATTTTCAAAATCGAAAGTATTTGAACCGATTTAATAGTGGCTGCCTTAAACATTACATAATAGGAAATATGTATAAAATGTAAATAAAACTTTTTAAAAACAATATAATTTACCATTGAGAATTCCAGTTGCTACGGCTATAGCTACAGTAGCGAGTATCGAAGCTATTATCATCCCAAACTGCTTCCCATTTGTGTTGTCATCCATTTCTGTCCATACTGTATCGGCGGCGAAGTATCTGAAGAAATTAAATTTAAATGAGTGACCTGTTAAAACTGAAAGTCACGTACAAACTACAAGCAATGATTAAGTTTTAAGTTTTAACGTAATGTGGGAACATTTTTACATATAATAAAGTTCTGATATCTTCATATAAAATATGTGACATGGTAATTTACTGGTTGTTGGTGGTTGCGAGGACTACAATCCCTGCTGCCAGAGCTCCAAATATTCCCGGTATTCCATGTAACTGAGTGGCTCCAGCACTGTCCATTGCTCCCAGGTTCTGCCAGGGAGTAAATAACTCTAATAACAAATAACTCGGGGAGTTAATAACTCAAACATTCATTTCAATCAGATGAAATGTTACAAAGTTAAACTCTCACCTCCATACAGCCGGAAATGTGTCCGTACCCAACACTGGACAAAGCACCAGCTAGACCACCAATGAGGACGGGCACCCAAGGTTCAACGTTGTAGCTGCAGCTCATACCGATAGAGACACCCCCTGCTAGAGTGGCGTTCTGAACTTCCAACTGAGGAGATAAGGGTGTTAGTTGGGTGTTAGTCGGGTATACTGAGTGACGGGGTGTTAGTCGGGTATACTGAGGGACGGGGTGTTAGTCGGGTATACTGAGGGACGGGGTGTTAGTTGGGTTTAGTCGGGTTTACTGACGGACGGCGTGTTAGTCGGGTATACTGAGGGACGGGGTGTTAGTTGGGTGTTAGTCGGGTTTACTGAGGGACGGGGTGTTAGTTGGGTGTTAGTCGGGTATACTGAGGGAAGGGGTGTTAGTTGGGTTTAGTCGGGTATTCTGAGGGACGGGGTTTTAGTCGGGTATACTGAGGGACGGGGTGTTAATTGGGTTTAGTCGGGTATTCTGAGGGACGGGGTGTTAGTCGGGTATACTGAAGGAAGGGGTGTTAGTTGGGTTTAGTCGGGTATTCTGAGGGACGGGGTGTTAGTCGGGTATACTGAGGGACGGGGTGTTAGTTGGGTTTAGTCGGGTTTACTGACGGACGGGGTGTTTGTCGGGTATACTGAGGGACGGGGTGTAAGTTGGGTTTAGTCGGGTATTTTGAGGGACGGGGTGTTAGTCGGGTATACTGAGGGACGGGGTGTTAGTCGGGTATACTGAGGGACGGGGTGTTAGGTGGGTTTAGTCGGGTATTCTGAGGGACGGGGTGTTAGTCGGGTATACTGAGGGACGGGGTGTTAGTTGGGTTTAGTCGGGTATTCTGAGGGACGGGGTGTTAGTCGGGTATACTGAAGGAAGGGGTGTTAGTTGGGTTTAGTCGGGTATTCTGAGGGACGGGGTGTTAGTCGGGTATACTGAGGGACGGGGTGTTAGTTGGGTTTTAGTCGGGTTTACTGAAGGACGGGGTGTTAGTTGGGTGTTAGTCGGGTATACTGAGGGACGGGGTGTTAGTTGGGTGTTAGTCGGGTATACTGAGGGACGGAGTGTTAGTCGGGTGTTAGTCGGGTTTACTGAAGGAAGGGGTGTTAGTTGGGTTTTAGTCGGGTTTACTGAGTGACGGAGTGTTAGTTGGGTGTTAGTCGGGTATACTGAAGGAAGGGGTGTTAGTTGGGTGTTAGTCGGGTATACTGAAGGAAGGGGTGTTAGTTGGGTGTTAGTCGGGTATACTGAAGGAAGGGGTGTTAGTTGGGTGTTAGTCGGGTATACTGAGGGACGGAGTGTTAGTTGGGTGTTAGTCGGGTATACTGAAGGACGGGGTTTTAGTCGGGTATACTGAGGGACGGGGTGTTAATTGAGTTTAGTCGGGTATACTGAAGGACGGGGGTTTAGTCGGGTATACTGAAGGACGGGGTTTTAGTCGGGTATACACTATACTAAGGGACTGGGTTTTAGTCGGGTATACTGAGGGACGGGGTGTTAGTCGGGTATACTGAGGGACGGGGTGTTAGTTGGGTGTTAGTCGGGTATACTGAGGGACGGGGTGTTAGTCGGGTATACTGAGGGACGGGGTGTTAGTAGGGTGTTAGTCGGGTATACTGAGGGACGGGGTGTTAGTTGAATTGGGTTTAGTCGGGTATACTGAGGGATGGGGTGTTAGTTGGGTTAAGTTTCCGAGTTAAAATTTGTACCACGAACAAGTAACGGATGGTACTAAGATGCCAATTAATTGAAATTCCTGAAATTCCGGTTGTACCGTGTCCATATGCCGGCCACTCCAAATAAATGACTTCGTGGGAGAATTATAACTAAACAGGCCCACTAATTTAACTGACATCGAGATCAAATTCCAATAAACATCTATGTTGTTTAATCAGGCGTTCACAATGTGGAACATATGTTGACTGTTCAATACCCATGATACTTACTACTCACCATGTTGATTTTACCGCCGTGAACAAGGTGACTGGTGACCATGGCGGTCACACAAGAGGCACAAATAGCCAGGTAGGTGTTAACCACCACTCTGTGTTGAACTGAAGCGTCGTCAAACAACAAAGATCCTGAGGGAGGTGATGTTAGATCTGTTTTAAATCGGAATTCTTTGAACAAAATAGTTAGTTCGTACTTCATTACTCATTTATTAACAGTTATTTTGTGCTATATCTTTCATAATATTACACCCAAACTAATAAATAATCATTAGAGTGATAAGAGGAACTTCTTGGTACTTTGAGGGAACTGTGAGATAATTTGGTTCGAAAAAGAGATTTGACAGCTTTCATAAAAAATGTCTAGCAAATTCCCTTACCATCGCATTGTCTAGTTAATTTTCTCAGCTACAATGATCAAATTGTATTCACTGATTATGCAAATTGTATACTCAGTTTCTATCACGGTGATTTAGCCCGATTTAGGTGACTGTGCATTTATAATTATATTTCTCTAAAATCTAGAAAGCCGTCTCTTCGACATTTCTGCTTAATAATGACGATTTAGCATAATAAAAATACTTTGACGGTTATACTTATGCAATACAAGATAAGTTATAACTTATTTATTTAAGGATGGAAAGCCTAATGATAATATTTCAAAATCGCTGATCGTGATAGGTCTCAGCAGTTAAAAGTCTAATATTCATCATGCAACTGTATGATTGCATCCCAATCCCTAAATGTTTTAACGGCTACAAATGTTGCCCCTCAGCCACTCCGGAGCCCGGCTCACAACGTCCCAACCATTGGAACCTCCAGTTAAAAGAGTGGTTTAAAATTACCCTTGGCTAAAAATAGGCTGGAAAACCCCCTAAACCGGCATCTCTAAGAGGGATCCGTGATTACCCACCGTTAAAACTAGGCCAGAACATCCAGAGGACGATAGTTCCCACCAGAGAGAAGGTGTCAGACACGTAGTTTGTGAGCCTGTTCTCCTCTGGAATGTGTTTGGGTTTTACTCCAAGTCCCAGGGTTAAGCCCAGTCCGAAGAAAGCACCGAATGCGTGAGTTAGGATCGAGCCTCCCGCGTCTGAAGTCTGAAATATCAAATATTGAAATGTTGCCAACCGTGGTGTTGCAGGGGCAAGTTATATTTAAAAACTAAAATATTTGTAAAATTGTTTGGTCTTGATGTACTGGGACAGGTAGTTTGCAAATTCAATTTTCAGTATGAATATGATCCATGAGTACAAATAAATTCGTTAAATTAAATTTAGATTGGAATGACAAATTAAGTCGTGAGACCTAACTGAGACTTTGCGAAACACTTTATGCTTTTAGGAATATGAAGACTATAATACCGATAAACATTAAAAATAAGTCATAACGAAAAATAGCTCGTTTTGCTAAGACTCGTTCAACTAACGTTAAGGTAATGAACGACGATGTGCTCGTTGAATTTCATAGCCAGGGGTTCCAAGAGACAGATGACGATGAGCTGGCAAGGAGACACGAAGCCGTAAATCACTCCGAATGTGATGAGAACTGCTGCTGTTACCAGATCAGCGCTTATCATCCTGTAGAATGGAGGTAGAGCTTATTGGATAGTTCCCGTATAGTTCCCGGATAGTTCCCGATTATATACTTTATTCCTGGAATCCCCAAAAACCGATAAAGCTTAAAAAACATGTTCTGAGCGAGTTGAAATAAAATAATTACTCACGCTGCAAGGTTTATTTCAGTTTTGACGAACTCTCCGTTGAAAATAGCGTGGATGATGCACGTGCAAACATGGCACCATAAGAAGCACATTCCACAGATCAAGTAGTTGAATGCAATGCCTCCCCAGGTATATTTCCTGGCCGGATAGAAATTAAAGTGTGATAATCGATTAATTTAATCATTATAATTATGTTATTCAGTATTTCAGTTACTTTCATTAAGTCGATCCGTTGCAATTGCAACTTTTACAGCTTTATTTTCTTGTTACTGTTATTGTTACGGTACCGTAGATTTATTTTTTATTAACCTGAATTAATTTTAATTTTGTTGTGGTGTGACACAATTTTCACACCGCTGGAAATTCACCAAATTTTGACGATATTCTGAACCGGTCTGCATAGACATACACACAAACCTACAAAAAGCGTAGAGGAATCCAAAACCCATGACACACATAGCTGTTGCGTCCATCATCACTGAAATGAGAATTTGTTGGTAAAAATATACCACCCACTTCCAGTGTGCCTAGTCCTACGTGCATCATTTTAAACCATACGCATAAGATGTTTAATTCTTCAACTGCATTAATAATTATTGTGCAAGTCTTTTTATATTTCGTTTATGACTAAACTCTCTGTATCTGAGCAGTGTATACTGTGAGGTCTTAAATACGAACATTTAAAAATTCTGCCGCTTTTCCTTTCAATTCATGGGCTTTTTATTGCTTTCAAGCTTGATAAGATAATCAAGCGTATAACGCTTGATTTAACAAGCCATGCAAATTTTAAGACGAGTTTTAAATTGAAGACTTGCTTGATCGACGATGTCAATTCTTCGCAGCTCAGCGAGAAAACTATAATATTTGATGTCAATTTTGTTTGAACGTCTCCTTAAAATTATACTGCTGTCCATCAATATGGGTAAAAGTAAAACAGTACGTGGGTACGGTTTAATAAAAATTGGACGTGCCTTTAATTACAAAGTTCCGTAAAAAAGGGTTTAACATATAAAATTAGAGTAATTACTTAATTAGTGTCTTGAACAGCCGAGGTTTTTGAGATAACCGGGTTAGTTCTCTGTAACCTTAGACACTAAGTCTAAATTCCATCCAATAAAATTTTCCCAGTCTTATATGATCTCTGGCAATAAAAAAGACAAATAATTTCCGGAATATATTCTTCCTGGCGAATTGGTGAAAGATAGAAGTTTAAATAATATAAAGAATTTCTAAAAATAGATTGATGCTGAATTAAGTTAACCTAAAGTTTAACTTTAGGTTATTAATGCTTTTCATTCATACAAGTTAAAACGGTATGATTTGTCTTTTATATTGCCAGAGATCATACATATATATGACTGAGAAGATTTTATTGGATGGAATTTAGACTTAGTGTCTAAGGTTACATTGAACTAACCCGGTTATTTCAAAAACCTCGGCTGGTCTGGACACTAATTACTCTAACTCTAAGTTAATATTTGGAGATACAAACTTTAGTAAAATTAGTATCTCCAGATCAAGAACTCGGTCGTACTGTATTTAATTACCTAATTACACTTAACTGGTTAAGGTACCCATACAGATTGTGCAGCAGCACGGTCAACTGTTTCAAATTAGTGAGAGAAGATAAAACTGACGTTCAGTTGTCCAAATAACATTAAGGTACAAAAACCCCAGCTCACCACCCCTAAAAGGCGAAACCCGGGCCAGGTTTTTAACCCGGTTAAAAGTCCAACTAAACAGTACTAACTTCCGTAAGACCCCATCATAGCATTAGCTCCAGCAGGTATAATAATCCTGGTCCTGTTATTGGCTCCCTCGCCCAGTTTCAGAACACTGTTTCCGTCCAGAGTCGTACATACTCCAAACAGGATCAGAACCAACGCCTGCAGGGAATCCAGATTAAATATTAATTCCCGAGAATAAATAAATATAATATTGGCTGCGGGTTGAAACAAGTAAGAATAAAAACATGTTTAGCTTTATCAGCTCTATCACCAATGATGTCATTAATGGGCAATGGCGCTATAATGTATCCACTCATTGGAGACAACCGATCAGCACTCAATTGAACTTAAATTTTGATTTTGGAATTGTAAAGGTAAAGTTTTAAATTATTGATCAACTAATAAAGTTTAAACTTACAAAAGCGACGTATCCAAATATTGGTAGGGAGAACCGCCCCAACATTGTCTTCTTATCAGGAGAAGAAATAGCGTGGTAATTAGCTGTCATTTTAGAACAAATAACGACAGAAACGCGCGAGCAACAGAACGAGCAACAACAACACGCCGGACTAAAAGATTAATGAGTGTTACGCGAAAGAACGGAAGAGCTTGGTCGGCTGCACTGGTCGGCCACTGGTCCGCACTTAGGAAGAAGATAAGGAGGTAATACTAATTGACGCTGTAAGATGAAGATGATTCCTTCGGAATCATAATTATCAGTATTGAATAATTATCCGTACATAAGCCTATTAGTCTCCAGGCCTCAGGCCGCCTTGTTAATAAACTGTGTTTTTGTTAAGCACCGGGAGGTTTGGTTTGTGAGATTCAGTTGTTTCTTGAATAATCTTTTTAGAATTTGACACGCAGAGGACCCGTTTTAGAGGAAGTTTTGAAATTCGACTGTAAAGTGATTTAGCACGTACGCTCAGAGGATCTCGTCAATGTTTTAAACGCTGTTCCACTGTACTTAAATTATTAAAAGAAATTTTGACGTAATTAGCTGTCTCATATTGATATAATTATAATAAGTGTAGTTCGAAAAAGGGATGCATATTGTATTCTCTCGAAAAACATTTCAGGAAATTTGCTTCCAGAACTGAAATCTAGCGATGTGAAATGATAAATCCAGTATTTTCTCCAAATAAAAATGACATATTTCAAGACCAACTTTAATTAAGTAAAGTTATCAATAAATTCCCACACTTGATAATGCAATAGTATTCTTATCCACCTAAAATTGGGATTAAATTCGCTGATAAACTAATCGCACTACTTTACTCACTTCTTAATGCTTATATCAAATATGAAAGTATTACAAGTATTACAAGTTACATCACTTAATATGCGACTGCAAGACTTTACGTTTCTTAATTAAGTCAATTAGTTACCTGCCAAAGCAATCAATTAACTTACATTGCATATTAGCAGAATGTCCCACAATGTTCTACAGCAAATCTCCCGATTCACCAACAGAACTGTAAGATTGGGCAAAAAATATGGGAAAATTAAGGAATGTTAATTTAGACTACAAAGGGCAACTATCGTGCTGTTAGACTGTAGTTAGACAGGATAGCCCAAAGGGTCGCCCCCTCCCCCCCTTCTTCCTACACCCTTGGACTTCCATTGACGGCAGATGATTGGAGCCATCACCGGATAACATCCAATAGCAATACCGGTACAGCGAAAGTGTGGTCCGCACTTAGGAAGAAGATAAGGAGGTAATTGACGCTGTAAAACGAAAAAGATTCCTTCAAAATTATTGAATAATTAAACACGTACATTATCATTTATCCTATAACTAGTCTCCAAGAGACGGCATGATCTTGTTAATAAACCGCGAGGTTCGGCTTGTGAGATTCAGTCGTTTCTAGAACAATACTTTGAGAATTTGACATGCAGAGAATGAACGTCAATGTTTTAAAAGCTGTTCCACTGTACTTAAATTATTGAATTATTATGGCTATTGGCTGGGGTCGATGGTATTCGTTCAAAATGGGTCTAGATTCAATGCTGGCGCCAATTGTAATGACTTTAATATAAATATAATACTTCCCTAAGTTACCTACCACATACCCAGTTATCAATTTTATCGATATTGATTGATATAACTAGTATCGATGAATTTGCCGCCATTAAAGGCACTGATAATAACTGCAATGCAATATTATTGTTATCTCTGTTGTACAACCAACTAATAATAGTATTAGTAATAGGCCGATTAAGATGAGTGGGACCATATCAGACGACAGACACGTGAATTGCGCTTGTTCGAATATCATTTTTTATTTTAAGGTGCAACCATCCAAAACCAACGTTAACGAAAAAAACAAAACAATGAGTGTTACGCGAGAGAGCGAAAATTGGTCCGCACAATTAGGAAAAAGATAAGGGGGTAATTGACGCTGTAAAACGAAGAATATTCCTTCACAATTATTGAATAATTACACGTACATTAGCTTACTAGCATCCAAATCCAATAATAAATCGCGAGATTGGTTTGTGAGATGCAATTGTTTCTTGCTACTCGTTGTATACCTCTCTCGTGCGCGCGAAAAGGGTTGCAACGTACTGTCGTACTGTGTCAACTTCAAGTTGTTTCTAAGGTTTCGGCTACTAAGGTTTACTACAGAAAGAATGTAGGCATAGGCAGAATTCGAAAACAAAACGAACACCTAGGAGTCCAGACCAAATAAAACAATCTGAATCAAATTAACATTATTTAAACTATTTTGAATTGTCACGGGAATCAGACACAAGGGTGGAGGATACAAAAGCGGTGGAAACAAGGGCAGAGGACACGAGGGCGTAGGACACCTGGACAAAAGGGCGATATTTTCCTAAAATAAAATTGTGGACACGAGGGCGGATCACATGATAGTGATACTCACTTAACATGGCCATGGACACGAGATGAACCAGTAATAAACTTGTATGATTACACCATTTAATCTACATTTGATTAAATTAAGACTATTGCAATTATTGATCATGCGTTTCTATCGGTAAATTCATTAGTAATTCCTCGAAATGTTTAATTCCCATAACCGGAAATTTAATAAAGTTTATACAATTTATATGTATAAATAATTAAAACAAACTAATTGTGTGCACCAAATATAGAAAGAGTATAACTATAAGCCGAGTTTATTAGTAGCAAGTTTGACATGGAAGGTTCTGAAATTCGAAGGTTGTGAGTCACCGATATATACTCAATACTCATAGCTTAACCACTGTATAAAGCTTAGCTGTCTAGTTTCACAGCTAACTCCAGCGCAGTGGTTTCTAGAATGTTCCAATATAAAATTGTGGTTTGTGAAAGGTTCTAAATAGAGTGATCAATTATTTTTGACATGACAGGACACGGAGTTTTACTCGAAACTTTTCGCCACCACAAAGACTTCGACATTTGTTTTAGATTACTTTAACATTGGTGCAACTCAGGAATTTGATCTTTATCTAAATTCAAAATTTACCATATGTGAACTTGTCGCGAGATCTTTAAAACCTTTAAAAGTTTACTTTATCGACCATGAGAATGAGATAGCCCATGATGTTTGTGGCTTGCCAAAAGACAAGTACAAGTTAAATATGGTAATTAATCGATTAGACACCTTTAATTAAATTTAAAATCATCCCACTTCATCATTCACCAAGTCTTATCAACCCAGATAACTTCAAAGGAAATACCCAACAAATTATAAAAGCGAAAAAACTAGCCCGGACTTGAAGTGGAACGGTATTGGATATGGTTTTAAGGCGTTAAGGTTCTTGCTAGTTCCCGAGAGGCTAATCTAATCTCACAAAGATCAATCTTGCAATTACCTAGATTGTTAATTTAGATTTGTTAATCGAGTATCAGGATTCAGGAGTCTCCACAGCGCTACATTGATTTTCCTCGGGATGCTGTGAAATTTCGATCACGTGAAATGCCCATATAAGAAAGTTGAATATTTCCACTCTGAGATCAGGATTTTAGCAGATGTTTGGGTAAATTCGTTTAGGTCACGACCTCGTTTACTTATATTCATACTACAGGCGTATATAGAGTGATCAGATTCGGAAAATGTTACGTGTAATTTCTACACAGTAGCTGAGAGTAAAGTGGTTTACAGAGGTTGATACACGTTGTAAACCCCTTTTTGCGAGGCCATTCATAAGATATTAAGAGGTATACAAATACAATTAACGTGTAGCAATACGGAGGGGAGAGGGTTACCTAAAATTACCAAAAGATGGCTTACATAATATGTGAACAATCCTGAAAAAGAGTGAATGAAAGTCATGAAAGTCATCCTCTGCTTATTGCAACTTTGTGAACAGAAGTAATGTTATAACGAAGAACAAACGAATTGCATATTAAATACGTTAAACTTAAATGAGTTTATCTCCTTTTCACTTTTCCACGACTTTGGAATGACCGCAATACGAGAAGCAACTAGACTGAGCATCACCGCTTCTCGCAACCACTTTAGATCGGCGAGATCGAAATATCAGTATCAGTCACTCTGGTCGGTTCACGGTTGCATGCTGATATGGAGTTAAAATTATTGCCTTAACTATCACGTGACATGCTCATATTTAAGAATATGCAGTAGGATATTCGGTATAATCTGCAGCATGTAATGTAACGATGTGATTGTTGTTGAATATATTAACATTTTCCTGCTTTATCAATGTCATGCTGTAACCTTAGGAACTGAAAAGAAATCCGCGCTCGCTTACCGGCTTACTTACAAAGGAATCACAAAAATGTTAATAGTATCGAAAGAAATTGTAGAAATAAATATCAATAATATCAATAATATCCTGATATTCTGAAATCTTATTTACAGAAAATTTACAGATCGAAATGCTGTTTGGTAGAAAAGAATAAACTGATAAAGATATATTTAACAAAATTAAAATAGTTTCACGAAATTAAAATCTGTTTTGATCATCGACATACATAATGTCGCCAAAATTGACACACGTGACAAGGGTTATTGAAAAAATGTTTGCTTTTAAAATAAATACACCATACAATTGCTTTCAAATCATTATTTATTTAACACAGCAAAATATTTCAGTTTTAATAATCTTTCCCCTTGTGACAGTCAGATGAAATTATTGTCACCAATCCTCGCCTTGTTAAGAGTAAAAGATCAAAGTCTTAGGAAAAAGTTAGATAATAGATAACAACACTGATTCTTGTTATAAATCACAAAAAAAGATACGGGTAGCATTCTATCTGCCCACAGATGTCTGACAACCAGTTTACAGTTTACACCGCCATCAGGTGTTGCTATCGTTACATTGCGTTTCCATGACTACAAAGCATGACCTGGAGTTCTCTGACGCATTTCTCTTCCCTATTCTGGGCCTCAACTGAGTGTCTCTGTTTGTTGGTAATTTCCCTGAAGTACAAACGTAGATCCAACTGTACGTCAACTCCTGCATCCTGAAGGACACACTCCTTTACAATAAGTTAGATATTGAGATCCTAACGGATTAAATTAAATCAGAGATGAAGCAGATAAAAATACCGGAGACAAGTATATCTGAATAAGTTAAGTTAATTTGCAATAAAATACACACGTGAGCAGTAAAATACCGTGACTGTAATCACAAGTGAGCGGTAAAATACCTTGTAATCACACGTTAGCGGTAAAATACCTTGTAATCACACGTGAGCGGTAAAATACCTTGTAATCACAAGTGAGCGGTAAAATACCTTGTAATCACACGTGAGCGGTAAAATACCTTGTGATCACGCGTGAGCGGTAAAATACCTTGTAATCACACGTGAGCGGTAAAATACCTTGTAATCACACGTGAGCGGTAAAATACCTTGTAATCACACGTGATCAGCGGTAAAATACCTTGTAATCACTGGGTTGTTCCTCATCAAGTTCATTCTCCACCTCATCCAGACTGTCAACGGAGCTCTCACTGATTCTTACCAGTCTGTTTGTCCGGTTTGTCTGCTCGTCCAGCACCATGATCTTAGACAGCTCCTCCTTCTCCACTATCTGACGTGTTTTTACAGATACTCAGTTTGAAATACTCAGTTTAGTAGTTTGAAATAGTAGTTTGAAGTATTGAGTTTGCATTTTAATCTATATGCTGATCTTGTTAACCGGAGTCCGGGCTTGTTCCCACCATTGCTCTACTTACTGAGCTCTACCACCACACCGGTCACTTATTAAGCAAAACATACCAGTGATATATCGCATGATTATGAGGCTATGTTTGGTACATAGTACTATCATGAAATTTGATTTGACGGGTAACTAGAATACATATGCATATATTTTTATTAAATACCCGACCAGTAAAATTTGACCGTGGATAATTACGTTGCTTGAAAAATTACCCATGATCTTCCCTACATTAATCACTTGCATGTTTATGAAACAAAAGAATGTAGATTGGAAGGACCACACAATTCGGTTTATTTATTAATTTTTCTAAATTTGTTTCTTTAAAAATCTATACAGAAAGTAAAATACATAAAGAAAATGAAACTGGAAGAGTTAAAACTTTTTGATGAAGTATTTCCGTTGTGCATGTTAAATGTACGCGTTTGTTCCACATCCGGAAACTGATTATTGAACTTACATTCTCGAAGTTATAAGCAATAAACTTGAGGGCAGCATGCTGGAGTTTGGACATCATGAGCAATCTGGCGAGAGACAGAGTCTGCACCGCATTTACAGTGTTCAGCTGTGTAGCTAAGAGATCACCACAACCTAACTTTAACCCGTGTATCATGTAATGATCTGAGTAGAATAGCAGGTCTTGTAATGTCTCTGGAACTATCTGTAATAATAAATGGTGATTAATTGTCAAATAAATCGTCCAAATCGGATCTATCTGAACTTCAAGTTCAGTGAACTTGCGATCGTTCACGACTCACGTATTACCGTATCCAGATTTTGGTTATAGTTATATCAGACCTCCCTGATCTGTCTAATGAACATGCTAATATTGGTCCAGCCTCCAGGTGTGCCGTGTGGGACAATAGTATCATTTAGGCGGAATATCCGCGGATGGAACAACTTATTAAGTCGGTAAGATGTATACACACCTCTGTAGAGCCAGTGTAGATAAATTTGAGGAGTAATGCGAACGTTTCAGCTAAAACGTTACTCAGCGTTATGAAGGTTAATTTCCCTCTGTTTGATGTTGTAACCTCTCTGAACTGGTTGGTATCCAACAATGCTGCAAAATAAGGACTGTGTGCCACCACAAACCCCTGAAACCGCATTAGATCAGGTGTGCTACTCAAGAATAATGAAAATTGAGTTTTAAATGGAATGCTCCAAGTTAGATGGAATAGCAAATTCAAAGTTGGCGAATTTCCAAAAGATGAATAATAATGCGCGGCTCAAACTCTCAATTACTAGCTGCTAACGTTGAGCGCGCACAACTTTAGATATCAAATTATTAAAAAATGTTTGGCTAAAAATAGAAAACAACTCCTGGGAGCACGTGAAAATCAGATTTCTGTGATGCTCCAAGAAAAAAAGTATACCATATAAGATAACGATTAGCATGTCAACATTAAACGACAAATTGGCCCATGACAATGATAGCCGGTACGTTTATAATTATGAGATGCAATACAGATTTACAATCAGGCAGATCGAATGAAGAGTTCGACGTTTGAAGTGAACAACAAATAAACTATGGTATTCAGAATGTGCACTATTTCTTAGTTTAAAAAGTAACATGCAAATGCAATGAAAATTCAACTGCCATGAATTTCCTTACCTTGTGGCAATAGAAGCGATTTGTCTGCACGATGAAACATAGATCCGAATAGTATTGTCGTTCTATTCTGCCCTGTAAATTAATATAATTAAGAATCTATCTAGTAATGTCAATGACTTCATTTAACAATCGAAATGTATGATATCTTTAGATTTAAAATTATAAAAACAAGATAGCAATACCTCAGATCTAAGATCAGATATAGCTATCTCGGCTATGTCGGGGTAGGTACAAGTTTCTGTTTCGATCATTATCTTCTCAGGGTATTTTTTGTGAACTGAAAGTGGAGATGATAGTCAAGAGTCAAAAATAGTGAAAAATAAAACACAGTGCATGCCATGCATGATTAATAAGGATTTTAACTCTTTAAAAGTTAAATCATTTTTTGAACTTCATACTTGGGAGTAGGGTCTAAGTATTTGATATTTCTCACAGATTCAATTTTACAACAAACAAATTCCTGGAAAGTTGCCATATCTTACATTGAAATGTCAATATCTGCTTAAACGTTTAAAGTTATAATGATATGTTGGTATTATAATGCTTGGCTAGCATTATATTTGTGCTATTATGATATTAGCTTATTAGAGAACTCATAGTTTTAAAATTGGCAGTACTTTAAACCTTACTCGGTAAAACTTAGTTTAAGTGTGAAAACTATTAAGTATTCTAGAAAATTCTATATTATAATTCATTGATCGTCATGTAAACAATTCAACAATTTAACAATTCTTTCCGGTTATTAATAGAGTAATAGGCTTGTAGTTGTATAAAAATTTTCAGAAGTTAATGTAACCAAAATTTTTGAAGTTTTAACATTCAGGTTATTAAACATATATGTAACTTACTTATCATATTTATAATATATTCTTCAATGTTATAAGTAATAACTAAGAGATATATTTACACTGTACAGCTTCGCTTTGTGGGCTTGTTTTGGCAGGCTCACCACAAGCTTCCTGTTACTGTGCCAAGTAAGTAAACTGACTAAGTTATTACTGTACAACACGGTACTTCAACTTAGTACGGTGTTCAGAATCAGCAAACATTCCACAGGGAAGCGCGTTTGTTGTATTTATTATTTAAGCAACTAAACTTAATTATCAGATACAATAACAAGCTATCTAATCAATTCAAGAAAGCAATTCGAGAGAGAATGTGGTAACTGTGATCTCCTCTATCAATCATCAAATCCCGTTTAAATAAACTTTTACAATCCCTGGTAATAGGGGTTTTATATTTTATGCAAAAAAATCTTTTTAGAAACTAAGAAACTCCCAGTAAATCACAGTTAATGATAATTGCAACCATACTGAATGGCTTACGTTTATTGCAAACAGCACGCAAGTTCGAGGTCAGTTCCTGCAGCCCAAGTCGTCTGGATAGATGAAGTATGTTTTTGTAAAGGTGCTTGTATTTCCCAATACTGAGTCGTTGTGTGTACATGTACTTTAGCACTTGTACCCATGCTTCAACCGAACTCTCCTGAATATAAAAGTGTTTATGAAGGAGCAATATTTGTTAAATTGTAAATAAAACAAATATTTTAATAAAACAAATATTTATTTTTACGGCACAATCAAACAATATCAATAATAAATAAATCAGGGGAGGTTTGAAGAGGTTTCAAGTGCCGAAGGCCACTGCTTATCTTTAGGATTTGAGAGTGACCTGTGCTTGAAACCCCCTCAACCATCCACTACGTCAATATACTTGTTATACAAATATAGACAAATATAGGGATAGCTCCCATAATCGACGTTTTAGATTTAATTTTCAACAATATTGATTTAGCTAAAACATATAATTGGTTAATGGTTATACATGGCTGATAGATTAGATCAATGAAAATGTCTAAATCCCATTACAATTACACACATAATTGTGTGGTATGTACACTGTAATCTGACATAATATAATACATTATAAATAAGACATGATGTTGTGCGTGTGCCTGCTGCAGCACGCTGTAGTATTCGATATTATCTGTGCCAATATGTGGCTCTACAGTCTACATATAGTCATAATATATTAGCGAGGTGAGTATATCACGTGACTACAACAGCTAACTAGTGTAGGAAACAGATTCTATTATTACAGTAGTACAGAAATACTGTCTCCCTGCAGACAGTCAAAAGTAAAAGTGGTGCACTTGTGATGATTTTTTTTATTACTACAAACTAATAGAAAACTTAGATCAAACATTTCACTGATCATCAGATGAATTTTAATGCGATTTTGTTACACAATATAAAGTGACCAAACCGGAGAGAAAGTGCTACTCAAAGGTTACTTAAAGAAGCAGTCACTCGCCTTCTTCAGGATATTACGTTTTATACCTCAGAACACGTGCTAACTATGATCACAATGAATCTGACATGAATTATAGGTAAGACGCAGCGTTGCGATTTCATAAGATCTACACTTAGACTTATTTCTTACTTTAATACACGCTTCAATATAAACGGTAAAGAAAGCAATGAGGTACACTTCGTGTATCTTACCACATATTTCAAATTCTTTCACCCCTCATTGAAGCTACTTAAAAACATTAATAGCATCTTCCAGATACATCGTTCTGTACGTGACAATAAAAAATTACAGGAAATATATTTGATGGTGAAATAAGAAGCGAGCTAGTAAGGGTTTAAACACAAAATAAACATGGTAATAACTCGCCCAATTACTAATATAAATCACAAAACATTTTCCTCTCTCCATCACGTCAGCCAACAGACGTGGAGACATGCACATGACAAACTATAATAACTGTTTCACAACACTAAAGTCTACATTACAGCTAGATGGTAGGAAAGATCGAAATTGTTTGATCCCAGGAAGATGCTATTGTATCCAGAAGTTATCCATAAGTTACACTAACCAACTGACGCTACTGACCTTGTAATTTTTGAAGTAGATAAAGTCTTTGCCTCTGTTAGGTCCCAGTAAGGAGTGAGAAAAGTATGGACTCTGTTTGAAGAGGACAAGTTTGTGGGCGTAGATCTTGTGATTTTCCGGTCCAATAACCAAGCAAACATCGCTGTAATTCTGATATGCATCACTAAACATTCTGAAGCAATCATTATTTTCAATATCGTCTTTAAATTCAAAATTAATGTTTAACATTTATTCTGTAAGAAGATTCTACTGAGTCTTATCGTTGACCTTGTTTATTTTGAAAGATACTGTAATGGTTTAACTTACAATTCCATAGTGTCTCTGAAATGGGCGCTTTGGGAGGTTTTCTGCTCAGGGGGATTGCGTAGAATGCGGCGGGTCTTGTCAGTTAAAGCACAGTTCATGCATCGCTCCCCAGAAAACTTGCAATGATCATAGGTAGCACCGGACTGCAGTAAGTAGACAACAATATCTTCATAACCCGAAAGGCAAGCGTAATATCTGAAACAAATATTTGCTTATTAAAATCATCGTTCATTTCAAAATAATTGACAGGTTGCATCCCATGGACCACTGAAACAAATTTATCTGAAAAAAAATTTCAGTGAAAGGTACAGCCAATAAAAAATCAGTGAAAACTCAGCTGAAGATAATCATAATAGAATATCATTTAAGAAGAAATTTATTGTAAATAGCCGGAACAAAAATGAAATTTTGATTTAAATTTCCATGCAGTTACAAAACGCACAGCGGAGTAGAATTCCATTTGTCTGTCACATTCACATCGCACATCATTTCTTCAACCAGTATTTTAATCCTTGTCAGATCCCCTTGTTTACAGGCCATAAAAATATCACCCATGTCAACCCAATGAGTGAGGTTTTGATCGTGTTTTCAGCAATGGTTTTGTTTGAAATAGATTTCCTTTAATCACTTTAATGCAAACGTTTACAGTCTGACAAATGTTCTGACAAATGTTCTAAAGTAAGTAGCAAAAGCGTGGAAGTTTTGAAAGTAGTATCCATGGAATCCATAAAATCTTTGTCACTGAGGAAAAGTCATACCTGGATTATTTTGTGTCAGTGTCTGACAGCTGTCTGTATAGTGTATAACAAACATAAGCAGTCTGAATATTTCTGAGATGCAAAAGTTATCTATTGCAACATAATATCATCATGAGAATTTGTGGTCATATGATAACCTTTTACCAAGATGTGGTAAAATGATCAATGCAATAGGAATTTCGGCTGGGTGGTGTAGTGGTAACATGAGTGACACATTTCACCACCGAGGTACTGGAAGCTGTGTATCCGAGAAATCTTTGATGAAAGGAGAATTCTGAAAATGTCCTACCGCGGTAGGACATTTTCAGCTTTCCGCAACCCAAATTTCAGTCAAGTTTGACTGAATTTTCCTCAATGACGAATTAATGAGTTTACTGTGTATGGCAAAAGACACGATTGAGGTACTGAAAGTTAGATTACCAACTTGAAAGCTCTGATAAACAGATAACAACCAGAATAAAAGGAGATATTTTTGAATAAAAGCTTTTTTTCCGTTTCCTTGATTGAAATTATACAATTTTGACTGAATTTTTTGCCAGTGACCAATCATTGAGGTCAGTGCAGTGGTGTAATGAAGGGCCCCGCTGACCCTGCTGTGCAGAGGGGGGGGGGGTGGGGCGTCACCTTAGGGGGCCCAAATCGTCGTTTGAATGTGGGACAATTTTGAAAAACTTAACTGAGGTACTAGCAAAACTGCTCTAGGAGCACACTTTTTTAGAGATTTTACCAGCATATATCCTCTAAAACCACCTAATTTTGTTCAATCTTAGGTAGCGTAGGAGCGCCAAAAGGGGAGGGGGTGCCAACAGGGGGGGGGGGGGGGGCGCCAACAGGCAACGTTACGCCACTGGGTCAGTGTGAGTAAAACAAATCACCATTGAGGTACTGAAAACTATATATCCGAAAATGCTTTGATATTTTCTTTCTTTCGATGTTTTTGATGTTAGGTAATGAACAATGTTCAACTGTAAACATAGTTATGGGTATGTCGATCCCAGCTCATTGTACAGAGCAGTACCAAGTACATACATATTTTCATATTAACAGGAAACAATGTAACAAGAGTCAATATTGTCGTCGGTATATTGTCCATTATCTACGTTCTGCTTTCTAGTTTAAACAATAGTGAGTTCTAAATATACAGCTTTAAACCGATTAAGTATGAATGAATGAAATACCTGACAATCCGCACTCTTATAATCCAAAAGCATGAGTAACTCGTAGTGATGTATGATTTCTAGAAACTTTAAATTAATTTTGTCGCTCACAGGTCCTCGTGAATATGTGATCGCCGCATAAGGTTCTGTAAATGCGCAGGGCACCTTCAAGCTTAAATTATTCACCTTACTGAGGCAGTCAACCAACGCGCGGCTTTATTTTTATGATATGATATGTTTTGATTGTTATTAATAAATACCAAAATTTAAATTTGTAAAAAAAAAAAAAATTTGTTTTCCTAATATATTTTAATGTTGCCATGGGGTGGCAAGTCCCCATACATCGTAGTCTGATAGTTTAACTGCATCATAATATATGATAGAATGAATAACAGCCGATAGTACAAAAATGTTCGATATTATGTCAATATTGCATTAACCTTACCCAATGCAATTGGATGATGATTAATCACTTTAAACTCGACTGTCACGTGACTTTTTCAACTCGTTCTCTAGCTGGTCCTGAACGACTATTCGAAACCCTAACCCTCTAATCTGATCCCAACCCTAACCCTAACCCAATCCTTAACAAAATCATATTATACTGAAACCCTAACCCTAACGAGAAATTATACTAACTTCCTTATATCACGTGATAGAGACAGTTTTTCGCCAATATCTCGTCAGGGGAGCATTTTAACCCTATGTCATGGGGGTGATTCGGAATACGAAACGAAACGAAACGAAACACTGTATTTACTACCCCGCTACTATGCGACAAAGATATTGTATAAAGATAACTAAATAATTTACACAATACGGTGCCCATGTCTGAGCGGCTCTCATCAAATAACTTTCTCTCCTCCTCGGAGCAGAAAGTTAAAAACAAAACACGGGTCTCATAAATCAAAAAATACTAAATAATGTTAAAGAGATAATATCAGATTAACTGTCGCAAAAAATGGTTAAAGTATACATATTACATAATTGATTTTATTGACACACCGATAAAAACCAGAAAAACAAGAAGTGGATACTCGGAAAACAAAAAATAACACAAAAAAGACTAGAAGCCACAAAAAATAGCTTAACCAGGCTATAGCTGATCATACATATAGTTCTTTAACTTACCCTTAAAAGAGACAATATTGTCGATGTTACGGACATTAAGAGGGAGAGAATACCATGATTCAGGTGCATAGTTGCTGAACCGCCTGCTAGTTGCCTTCAATTTAGAGAACTTAGGTATCTTCATAAGAAGGTTGCATGCTGTTTTTGTTCTGGTTTCTTTGACAGCCTTATCATCTCTGTTCATTTGAACCAACTCTTGGAGGTACATTGGTGCCAATCCATGGGTCACTTTAAAACAGATGAGACACACTTTGAAAAATATCTTCTTTTCAACAGGGAGAATATGAGCTTTCTTGTAGAAAGGAGACAAGTCAGTATTTCTGTCATAGATGTCGTAAATGAAACGTATCCCTGCATTTAGAACAGATTGCAGCTTCTTCACTCTAGTCTTTGAAAGATTCATGTAAAGGGCATTACAATAGTCCAGCTTTGATATGATCAGTTGTTTGACCAGCATGAGCTTAACTCTCTCATCTAGATACTTTCTGATAGTTCTAAGATTGTGCATTGTCCAGCAACAGTTCTTCCTAACGTTGTTAATCTGCCTTTCCGTGTTGAGAGATTCATCTAGTAACACTCCAAGACTCTTCCAGGTATCGTTTTTACATACAGTTGGTGTAATAATGGTGTCACCAAACTTTATTGTTATTTCAAGGTCAAACTTCTTCAGTACCAAAGGCTTTCCAATGACTAACAATTCTGTCTTGCTCTCATTCAGTTTCATGAAATTATTAACCATCCATACTTTGATTTCAGACAGACAGTCATTGATCCTACTAGTGACATTCTGCAGCTCCATGGGTCTCATCGGGTGGAAAGCTATATAAAGTTGTGAGTCATCTGCATAAAGCTGAATATCGAGACCATACTTTCTAGCTATTTCCTGGAGCAGCTTAATGTATAAGATGAACAGGATAGGTCCCAATAGAGAGCCCTGGGGTACCCCAAACAACAGACACAGGAAGTCAGATAATGAGTCATCTACCTTAACCTTGAAAAACCTGCCTGAGAGGTATGAACTAAACCATTTCAATGCAGAGTCCTTAATACCAAAATTTTTTGCCAGCTAATTCTTAAGAAGGATTGTATGATCAATCGTGTCGAAAGCAGAGAGAGATCAAGTAAGACTACAATCACAATGTTGTTCTTCTGCACTTCCTTAAGAATATCGTCTGCCATCCTGACCATCAGGGTTTCATAACTGTGGTTCGCTCTGTATCCAGACTGAACTGGGCAATGCAGACTGTTTAAATGTAAGTGATTGTTTAACTGCTCAAGTACAATCTTTTCAATCAGTTTAGACATAACTGCAAGATTTGAGACTGGTCTGTAATTCTTCAGAATATCTGGATCAGCATTCTTCTTCTTGATAGTGGGCTTGACCAGTGCAGTCTTCATCTCGGCTGGAAACACACCTTTCAACATAGAACTGTTTATTATGTGCAGGAGGATCGGTGCCAACTCCTGAGAGCATTTCTTCAACATGAAAGTTGGAATAGGGTCAAGACTACAAAACTTGTTAGACATCTTAGAAATGGTGTGTAACAGGTGCTGCCTAGTGATGGAGTGAAATTTATCAAATGATGGCCCTGAATAGGTGCTTTCAAGATTCTCTGACGATGACAAGTTCCCTCCGATATGACTTCCTTCTTCTTCTATCCCAAGTCTGATATCATTCACTTTATCCGCAAAGAAAACTTTAAAACTTTCTGCAAGTTTTTTAGTGTCATTACCATGTGGCCTTTCTTGGGTAGTTTCACCCGTGAGTCTATAAACTTTCTTGTACAGAGCCTTCGTATCTCCCGCAGAGGCTAAGAGGGCTTTTCTATTGTAAGTAATCCTCTTCTGTCGCTCAATGACAATAAATTTGTTCCTGAGGTAGACAAAAATATCCTTCTGTCCCTTGCCTTTCCTCCAGGCTCTCTCAGCTGCTCTCCTCTGCCTCTGTAAAGCTTTCAGATCCTGATTCATCCAAGGTTTACCTTTGTCTTCACTCTTCATCTCCTTACTGATCACAGGGCAATGCTTGTCCATAAGTTCCAATAGAATACTATTGTACATCTTAACTGACTCATCAAGACTCTCAGAGCACCAAGCATCTCTTTTACAGAGATCAGAAACCAAAATATCTGCTTTAAAATCCTCAACCACAATACTTTTAAAATCACGGTAGTTCATCACCCTAGTATCATTCAAAGAGGTCTTCAGGCTCACAGACACTACAAATTTAACAAGAAAATGATCTGATCTAGTCCCAGATTCCACAATGTTGATAGAAGTTATAGAGTCTTTAAAGACTTTGGTCGTTATCACGAAGTCAAGAGTTCCTGCTTGATTGTGAGTTCTTTCTAGTGGTACACATTGGATGAAACCAAGCTGATCAAGAAGGGAAAGAAACTTTGCGGGGTAAAGATCTTTAGGTCTTTCAACATGTAAATTAAAATCCCCTGCAATCACCGGGGTTCCTGGCTTACCGGACAAATTGTTTAAGAGAGTTCTCTGGTAGTTACGAAACTCGAGAGACTGTGGGATACTGAAGGGAAAGGAAGCAGTTCTAACGAGCTCTTCTCAAACACAAGGATATATCTTGTGAACTTGGCTAGTATATATGAAACATTTGATATGGAGTTGTAGAGGGAGTTATGTGCCTCGCCGGGCTAAAGTAGTGGATGACCTTGCTGTACGGCAAGTTAAACAAGGATCTGAAACTACTAGGTTCCGTACAGACTCAACTCTGCACCCGTGTCAATATGTTCATTATATGCAAGCCTCTTGATTTAAATCACACAGGTATTCACTGAATTCTTCCAAGAAGTGGCACTCAGTGTACCTGGCCTTTTTGGTGTAAGGCGGTCTATACACATCAATAAGTCTGATTATCCCACTATTTGTTTCAAGTACAACTTCCATGACTTGGTAAGACTTGTACTTCTTGACTCTACCGTTGCTTTTCAACTTAAGGTTCTTATTGAAAATCATGCCTATACCTCCGCCACTACGATGCTTCCTTGGGTTGGATAAAATACCCCAACCAAAATCTCGTATCTCTTGTAGCTTTGCAGTATCTGCTTCCTTAAGAAAAGTCTCTTGAAGAAAACAGATATCAACCCCCTCATCAGTTAGGTGCTCAAGAACCTCTACTGTCTTGTTCACTAGACGATTAACATTAAACGTGGCTAAGACTAGTTTATCCCAAGCTCTCTTTGTCGAATCTTTGCCCACTGGAGATAAGAGTTTTTTGATGTTTCACATCCGCTCGTTCTGGCCATGATATAACTCTGCTCTCTCACATAAGATGGGCATAATCTGTCAGCTGCAGAATGTGTCTTGCATTTATCTTTGACATTCTTGTCTTTACTGTTGCTACAGTTCGTACACTTGATACTAGATCTTCGGCCCGCCGTTTTCTTCTCACAATCTTTCGATTTGTGGGCACCTGCACAGTAGAAGCACACTGGGTCGGCATTATACTTCTTACACTTACAGTAATCACTGCCACTCATGTGTCCGAAGCTCTGACAGTCAAAGCACTGGATTACATGATACCTATCCTTAACTTTATACTGTCCAAGATCAGCGTGTACAAAGTCACCTGACTCCCTTATAGACTGCCTGATTTTCACTGACACTTGTAGGCATGCCCAGGTCTTGTTTTTCTCCAGGAAAATAACCTTGAAAGTGTTGTTCTCATCTTCAACTAAACTCTTAATGGAACTGTTCTTATCAAGGATGCTCTGGCGCAATTCTTCAGATGACTCAAAATCTCCCTTGAGATTAGGTTCAAGCATTGTCACGGTGTGGGATTTTGCAGACACTTTGTAGTCCACACTAAGAGCATCTTTAGCTTTCTCCATAAGTTCCTTGTTCTTGAATATTAACCTTGCTGTGCCTTCTTTGACACCTGAGACCCCCTTAATAGGGATGCTGGGCAGTATTGATGCGACATGTTTCTTCACCTTTGAGGACCAGAGTTCTTCTGTTATCTTATCTGCCTCATTCTGCCCTTCCAGAGTTAAAGTATGAGTCTCACTGGGTCCGAGATTGGTCTTAATCTCAGGTATAATATATGGACCACCTTTATTGTTCTCAATGAGAATTTGTCTAAATTGTGCTAGCTCCTTTCTCACTATATCTAGTGCCTCGGTAGCTGTCCCTTCCTGTGGTGCAGGTGTGTCTAGTATAGACTTGGTCTTCAGTAGTGACAGGGCCCTCTTACTGAAACTGTATAGTTCCTTTATAACTTCAAACATATCCGGCTTGCTATTCCCTGTGGGTAAGTCTAAAGAATCTGCAATTATAGTATCCAACTTCTTCTTACCTTTTAAACTGTCGTTTAACGTTTCTAACTCCTTTTCCATCTTGTCATAGACATCAGTGATAACCATTGCTGTAAAGGATTTGAGACCTCTCTACTTTAACTCAAACCAAATAAATATAGTGGTAAGTGCTGAAAAGTACTTGATAAACCCACTAAAAGCTGTTGGTCGTCGTTTAAAACGCAGTAAAAACCTCAAATTATTTGTTATATAGTAGTGTTGAAAGTATTAAAACTATAATAAACGTCCGAAAATACATCGATTGAAGTCGGTTTTAAATGTCTGGAGCCCTTTTAGAACGATCTTTGATCTCATAGATCGACTGTAGAGTGATTTAGCACGCTCGATCAACGCAATTAAATGTTGCTTTCGTATAATACAGGCGGGGAAATTATTAAAGGAGCTTTTGACACTTGACAGATTTGATATAAAATAATCATAAAGGAACTAAAGAAGAGATTTTTATTTTAAAACGTTAACTGTTCTGTGGAATTTGTTAAGTTGCTGTTTTGTATTGAGTAATTGATACACAAATTTATGAGAATGAGTATTAATCATAAAAGTGAATAATAAAACAGTGCACAAGCTTGAAAAAACATGTGGCCATCTGCCCATCTCCGTTCGATTACACAACTACAAGCAATTGCAATTCTTATCACACTATTTTTTTTAGGTGCCCCAGTTTTAAACTATTTTCACAACTACAATTAAATACATTTATTTAGGTCCCAATGTCAAAGCGATAGAAGAGACTATGACGTGACCGTTTGTATCCTAAGCAACGCATCTACTTCCTGGGCTACAGTATTGACTTCGCCATCTTCTCCTCCCTCTTCCTCTCATCACTATGGATCTGAATTCTGTTACCAATGTTTTAAACTCGTTTTCATTAAATGAGCTGAAAGCTCTTAAGGCCAGTGTTGATAATGTCATGAAACTTAAGAGAAATTCTGTTAAATGCGAGGACTTCTTGGAGTTGCATTCAGATTTTGTTCAGAACAAGAGTGTTCAACATGGCACGTTGATGTCTGAACTTGAAACACTTATGGCCAAGCAAACTGCTGAGAAAACTGCCACAAAGTGGGTCACTTCCACTGGAGAAGAATATGTATGGTCTTCCTCAAATGGACACACCACGACTAAGGAGCCAATCGATATTTTAAATTATCCTGGGATATCAGAGCTTATGCATGATATCAACTCCAAGTTTGGCTGCAAGCTAAACTCATGCCTAGCAAGCATGTACAAGTCTGGTTCTTGTGCAACTAGGTACCACAACGACGACGAGGTGTCTCTTGACCAGTCGCAAGGTATCTATGTAGTTTCATTTGGAGCTGAGAGGACCATCGACATAATTCCAGAAAATGGGGATAAGCGATGTAACAGTAAATGCCATATCACCCCAAAGGACTGTAGTTTGTATATTATGAAACCGGGGTGTCAGGAATATTGTCTTCACAAGGTTCGTGCAGAGAGATCAGCTAAGGAGACTCGGTATAGCTTATCTTTTCGCTGTCAGATACCGAAGACAGATAAAAATGTAGTCAGGGAGCAGATTGTCCTTCCTACAATTCCTATGCCGCCTACCACCACCTCAACACCAATCCTTTACTACCGAAATGCTCCAAGAAAACCGAAGAGCAGGAAAACCACTGTCCTGTTTGGTACGTCAATGACAAAATTCGTACGGACAAATAAGTTGGGATTCCGGGGAAGGAAAGTAATCAATGTGTCCCAAAGTAGTGCAAAAATTAGAGACATCACTGAAAACATTGAGCATTTTCATAAAACTCGTGCAGCTGCAGAAGCTGACGATATTGAAAAAATTATATTGAGTGTTGGTACAAATGACATAAAACATTCTAAGTATGGGGTTCAGTTCCTTAGGAAGTATCTTAATGACTTAATTGACACCACTAAGCAGTTATTTCCCGCTGCAATTATAATAATCCAATGTTGTCTTCCTATTAAGTGTTTATATTCCTACATAGCGAAGAATGTTCTAGATTTTAATAATCTACTTAAAGACTTATGCCTAAATAGTAATTGCGTGTTCTTAGACTGTTTCTCAGACTTCTTAACTCGAGACTTTAGATCATGTAATGAACTTCTATACCATGATTGGCTTCATCTCAACATGAGAGGAGTAGGTTTACTTTCCACTTGGCTTAAGTTTGTTGTAAACAAACACAGTTTTGACAGGGTTGTAAATAATCTTCTGGGAATTTAAATCTTTGATCTTTTCTTTCATTTAATATTTTGATTAAGACGTTGCACCTAAAATTAAAACTCAAACAAATCTCTGATTTAATCTTTTTCTAAATTTTATGCCTCCTATTTCAGGTACATTCGGTCACTGACCATTTTCCCATATGTTAGACAATGAATCGTTTAGACTTAGAATAGGTCTTTTTGCATGCAAAAGGCCTCGTACTCAGTCAAGAAATTCACATATACATATCAACACGTTTATACCTAACAAAATTTACACATTTAATTCTCCATACACCCCACACATCAACTACAATTGTCATAATCATATGTTTCTCTTCTATTCTCTCATCATGACTTACTTTCTCCCAATTCTTCTCTCCACGACTAGGTCCATAAACACCGTATTTCCCCTAGATTCTAATATTTATTCCTCTCTACTCCTTGACAGCTCACGTTATCTTATACCATTTCTTGCTTGCTCCCACATCAAACTTTTCTTTGTAATTATCTCCTCATGGTTTATAAGAAATGTTCTTCTCCCTGGTAAGATGAATAGAGTCAAGTATTCCAGCCGCCTCAGGCGTCTAGTCTCTTTATTCATTCTTTGGGTTTTCTCTCTTAACTTTCTTTTGATAACTCTTGTTAATCCTTCTATGCTTAATCCAGGTCCCAACTCCCTATCTGTACTCTACCAAAATGTACAAGGTCTTATTCCTTTCAGTAACCTAAGCTCCTCCCATCCCCTTCTTGATGGTAATAAGATTTCCGAACTTCAATCCTTTGCTAACATAGAGCAGCCTGACATAATTGCCCTAAATGAGACTTGGCTCAAAAAGTCTATTTCTAGCAACGAAATCTTTCCTTCTTCTCAATATGAAATCTTCCGCAATGACCGCACGAGAAAGACTCATCCTCAAGATCCTAATAACCCTAAAAAGTTTAGGGAAAATGGAGGTGGTGTTTTTTTGGTTGTTCGGTCTGATCTCGATGCCACTACAACCCGACTACCAGTTAGCCTAGGTGCAGAAATGCTTGCCGTTAAAATTGCTTTTCCTAACAAAGAGAGTATTGTAATCTGTACTTGTTATAGAGTAGGAACTCTTGGGTTACCTAATCATGATGTCATAGTTAGCTATATTCGCAAGCTAGTTTCCAAAAAGAATCCCCCTAAAATCTATGTTATTGGTGATTTTAATCTCCCCCATACAGACTGGCTATCTTCATCCAGTACCGTACATATTGAGCAATCCTTCATAGATTCTTTCAGTGATCTTTCTCTCTCCCAGTTGATCACATCACCCACCCATAAAAGTGGTAATACATTAGACATTCTTCTCAGTAATTATGATAACACAATCGATAACTTGAATGTCTGTGATCCTCATTCCGTGTGCAAATCTGATCATTTTCCTGTCACTTTTTCAATTAAAGTTTGACTTGAATGATCTTATTTTTTTCCACAAAGTTCTTAACAATTTAATTCCTGTATCGCTGCCTCACTATCTCTCTTTATATCAGGGCACTTCTCGACTAAGACGTTGCCACCTCGACAGTCTGTCTATTGTGTCATCAATTTTACCTAAGTTAAGTCAGAATTCACACACCACATGTACCTCAAATAGCCCACTGGCAAAATCATTTTTCTATAGAACCCATATACTGTGGAATGGACTCCCTTTACAGGTAAGACAGATTGTGTCTACTAGTCTTTTCAAAGCTGAGGTCACTAAGCATCTATGGAAATGTTTATTGGATAGTGAAACAACAGTCTAGCCTAGTCTCTTTGCTCCCCATATTATTATTATTTTTGTTTTATTAATTTTTTCATCTACCTTCCTATACTTTCAACATCATATCACACTTCACCCGCACACCTTCTCACACATTAATGACCATTTCAGACCTGTATCTAATGTATCTGGAATTTGACGTATTGAAATTCCAATTTTGACTCTATATCCACAGTTATTCACCATGGATTTGTTTGTTATTAAATAGTTTTTCATAAATTTTTGGATTTAGATTAATTCGATGTAATGGGTCCAAGTTACTGCGGACATAGTTCACTATGTGTTTACCGTGTTTGGGTGCCCATCATATTTTACAGATGGGGGCGATATTTTGAACGATTCTATTTTATATTCATCTATTGCTGTACTCTGTAAAATTTGAAAAGTATTTAATTTAAAAAAAAAAATAAAGGATGTTTCTTAAATTTCAAAATATACAATCAGCTGTACATTTTCTTATTCGAAAAATAAATAAATTTAAATCCTTCAGTTAGTTTGACATCACAAAAAAAACTTTAAAAGCTGAACTCATGCCTACAGCTAGTGCAGTAGCAGTAAATACTTCATTTAGCATTAAGGCAACGTAAAATATTCATGTTGTAAAAGTATATTTTCTCGCATTAAAGAAAATATATTTTTAATACGTTTTTAGTATTCACGGCACGGCACTCTTTAGCTTTTCAAAATTTTCGCACAGGCAGGAATTGATACTGTTGAAACTGGAAACGTTTCCTGTTTTTTGTTTTTGTTGATTTATACCGACATAAAAACAAATTGGAGGACTTCGCCGCTTCGACGCGCCGCGCAAACTAGCATTCTTGCTTCGCATTGACTAGATCGTTGTTTTATAAAACAACGATCTGGAAGGGTTGACATCGTCAATCAAAAAAACAAATTATCAAGTTCGCATATTACCAATTACGTTCATAATTTTATTTATTAATTGTTAACTTTTTCCCCCTTTTCTGTTTGCGTAATCAGTTTCACACACAGTACAGGCGGTGTGTCAAATAGTTTACCTGGGGACCTCAGGCTATTATGTTATTCATAAACATAGAGATTAGGCGGAATAACAGGCTGAGCGCGGCCCAGTAAAAAAATAGTCATCATCGTACGTTAAATAAAAAATAATCATTTTAAAACGAAACATTTTTGTACGCCGCGCATATTTTTGCCAATTTACTTCATAGTAGAATGAAAATCGAGCGCTGAAGTGAAGACTGTTATATTTTTACAAGAATTTCTTTGGAGTTCAGTGTTAATGTTGTATTTCAGAATATCCTTAGCCTTTATGTATAATAAACAATGGTTTCGATGTGTTATTTGATTATTAACTATGTTTTTATGTATCCTTACTGATGCGGAGTCCTCATCTACACTAATTCCCCATGTTATTATTATGATATGCTTTAGCTTTATCCCTCAAATTAATTAAATTATTAGCTATCTAAGATTTAATAAAAATAATATCCCTCAAAAGTTAATTCTTTCGTCTTTATGTGGCATACTGTTTTATCTTCACCATGCTTCATCGTGATTCATGGTTGGAACTGAATTGGTTTTCATGGTTCCTCCACAATAACCCTGTTAGAGAAGTATAATTCGACGGAATTAGAGAAACAAAATTATTAAAAGTCACTCTTTCCTGAATGTACCCATTTGATCATTCAATACAGTCAGTTTGATTTTCTTTAAATCATGAATGTTAATAAGCTACCCTATTACAACTCGTTGAGTTGCAACCTTGACTGAATATTCAGATTAATTTTTGATCCTGGACTGAAGTGTGCAGTAAACAAGCCACAATAAAAGTTGTGGCTATATAGCTATAGAATAATAATAATTTAAACTTTTTTATAATAGTGGCAAAACAAGTTAAAATTGACAAGTGTGCTACCAAAATAGTTTAAGATGCATTAAAACCTGAACAGCAATCCACTTATGACTTAATATTATAAACCATGCAAGATCATTAAAACTTGATACACTATATAAAACGTTAATGTGTACTATGCACTTTCCAGTAGTTAGTAGTATAGGATACAAGGATACAAGGATACAAGGATACAAAAGTGATAATTACTTTATTGAGTACACAATAGTTGTAATTCTGAAATAATTTAAGTTACACAATTCTAATTATTTACAGGTGTGTAGGGATAATTTAGAAATGTTATATAATGCTATTTTTAGAAAAATAGATAAATCGAGTTTGTATGGTTCAATCTTATTTTAAGGTCCTATAGCATTAAGCACTTGCCAGTATTTGAGTGGAAATCTGGGCTCTTATAATAGGCTGTATGATTTTCGTTCACAGAGAGAATTGAATGGATTGCTCTTGCTGTGGCAGTGAGTGTGGTAGGATCTAGAGTTTTGTTGGAGAGCAAACCGACTAGGTCAGTAATGTTGAGGGGATGGAAATTGAATTTTTCCCTAACTGAGGAGTAGAGCAAACAGTCAATCAATACGTGACTTTCGTCCTCAATAGGCTTGAGCCCTTTGCTGAAAAAGCAGTAGGTGCACCAACGTTCTTCTCTTGGTACAAGGGGGGTTTCGTATCTGCCCCTTTCAATGTAGAGGTTGTGGCAGCTGATACGAAACCTTGTCAGACTTTTTCGAACATCAGGTATTTTGATAATTCGTAGATATGCCTCTGGTTCGAAATCATGTTTAATTAAGTTATAGAATTCTAGTTTTGGCAAGGAGGCCTTAGCAGCTTTCCATGTATTCACGAATTCTTCCCTCATGTTATGACTGATTTGGGTGGAGAGCTTAGATTTTGAGGAAGATGAGGGGGTGAAGTTGTATTTGGTGAGAAGGTTTGAGATGTTGGTATACCAAGGAAGTTCCAACATGATTTGTTCGTGAAATGCAGCACAGAGTAGTTCGTTTTCAGTGTTTTCAAGGCGACTATAGTAATCTATTGCAAGTGTGCAACTTCTAGTATAGAAGTATGGTTATGTAATAGTATCCTCGTAGCATTTGAAGATGTTCATTGATTAGGGAAAACTGGTGTGTTGTAGCCTATGTTTCCAGCCGAATTTAGCTATGTGGAGTCAGCTAAACTGTTACAAACTTTATGTCAATACACATACGCTGGGGCTTATTTCTCAGTCACTGAGCGCATGATTCAAATAATTTTTTCTGGTATGACTTGCTATTATCAATATCAATTCAAATAAATAATAATAATTTAAACTTTTATATTATGATAGTGGCACAACAACTTAAAATTCACAGGTTTAGATTATAAACCATTATAGATTAAAAGAGGTAGTAGCTTAAGAAACTATTCAGGAATATCATATGCACGCTTGAAAAGAAACATTTTTAGATCATACAATTTAGAAAAGTCCAACAACATGCATTTCTTAATTTCAAGAGGCAGCTTATTCCAATGGTGTTAATTTATTCTGAATGAACCTTCATTTTCACGGTTTTTATTTTTGAAATGGTTGGAAGGCTGGTTATTATGTAACATGGTGAGTCCTTAGATAAAATGTCATGTCAGGCAATCAAGTTACATGCTGGTGACCTTGGGGTCTAATAGGAAGTTTCAAAACTTTTCAGAAAAAAATCAGAGATCAGATATTTCTACGCTTTTTATAAAAGTTGTACCAGAGGTCAAAGATTTCAAAACTTTCCAGGATTGGTCCGAACTCTAAGTATGCTTTCTTGTGGCACTCCAGAGGTCATGATATGGATGTCACTAGTTTTACATCAAATTGTAGTTTGTTGGCTTAATTCGTTGATAAAGAAATGAGCCATTTAAAAAGTTGTTCCTTTGATACCATGGTGTTTCAGATTTTGCTCTAGGATATCATGGTTGACTGTGATAAAAAGCCTTCTTAATATCTAGAAGAAGATGATTGCAGGATTTTTTATCACCTTTTTGCAGTGAGTATATACTATATTATCAAACAGATCTAACATAAGATAAGTGGAAGAACTAGAGTATTGTTTACGAAACCAGTACTGATGAGATATCATTCCATTATCATCTAGATATTGGGTAGTTGAGAGTTTACAAAGAATTCTATGGACTTTCCTAGTATGGGTAGGATTGAGACGGGGGAATATTTATTTGGATCTTTTGTATCTCTTCCTTTATGAATGTGGGTTACTTTAGCAATCTTGCAGCTTTCCCGCATTATGCCTGTAACAAGACTTAGGTTTACTATTAAATATTATATGTGTTTAGAAGCTTTTAAATAAAAGTTGTACTTGACCGTCAAATTTTGACGAAAGATTCTCAGCGGTATAGGGTCATGAGTTTAATGTTTATATTTCCCCATGAAATAGCCATTTAAATCCCTATATTACTTTGGATTGCCCTGTTACGTGTTCCTTGGTGATATTTAAAACCCATGACAGCTCTTACTTATATTAATGATTTGAGGCTTAAACAGTTATATATAATGCGTCATTAATTGATGTTAATGATTGCTGCCATGCGCATGCTGAATATTTAGTTGCAGAAACTTATTGACACACAAAAAACTACGTTACATACATACCACGTTGTCACAGGCCCACTAAAGAGTGACTTTTATACACACTTTCGTTTGAGCCAGGCTTCTAAAGTCTGGTGACAGATTTTAAGATTGGCATTTTATTCCAAGGAATTAAACCATTAACGTTTTGGCACCTTTTGAAAATTCCCAGAGGTTTGATGGTAACCCACTAACCATGCCCACTTACCTGTGACATGTAATTTTCGCGTTAAATGTTTAATGGAGTTCAGCTTTGATTTGATATTGATATACAAGCCTCCTAAATGATATTTTTACTCAGATTCTTATCCTATCATTATAGGTAGAGGGATGATCCGGTTATCTTTGCGAAAATTTCCATTGAACAGTAAGTTTACAAACTTTGTTTTTTGCATTATGTATATATCTTTTCAAGCATAAGTTTTCAGTGCTTACCTAATGTTTAATAACAATAATACTGCTGAGTATAACTTTTATATTAAAAGTGCTGTCATTAAACTTCAATCTATTATCAATTTTATCAGTCTTTGGTCTTACCATGTATCATGTCTAAAATCCAATTCCACAATTATTAGTAATTGTCAAGTTTACTAATAAACCAACTATTTCAGAGGAACTGGAAGATGCCACAGGAATACCTTGGGGTTGCTCGTTAGAACCACTTACACAAATTCCACCAGAGTGTATAGTTCCTGAATCATGCTCAAAACTGGCACGATGCCACAACTGCTACAGTTACATAAACTGTTTTACTGTAGTAAACAAGACCCACTGGCACTGTATGATGTGCCACTCTGAGAACGAGGTTATACCGAGGTACGCTAATGCTACCCCTCAACCTGAACTCAGTCAGACTTTAATAGAACTCGATATCAGCCCAGATGCTGAGGATAACGCTCTCTGCCCGGTTAGTTTTAAATTCCTGCTGGGAATTTATGTTGGAATCGCTCAAACATTTTCACATAATCCTGACTTGATTATAGTTTAAGCTGAAACCGGAACATGTAATCCCGGTTACATGTTTAATTATAAAGTTATATAAAGCGTTCTATATTCAGGATCCTCCTATGTTGCCTATCTATATTGGTGTAGTTGATGTAACCGGGTGCCCAGACTTCATTAAAACTGTCCAGAAATCCCTCTACTCCATCATTGACAACTTAGCTGACGGTAAGCCTACCTTATTATATGGATAACCACACCTTTTCTATTTTTAATTTCTAGATTAAATTCATATGAAGAGGTGGAGGCTGTGGTACGTGAGCGGTATTTGCGTATTTCACTGGTCACTGCTAACTGCAGATTTATTAATAGCATTAAAGAACTTAAACACAGTCGTGTCACTTGCAATCTCCAGTGCGGCAAACTGCAGAAGAGCCTTAATAAGGCTATGATTTAATAGGATTACATATAGTCTATCCTAGAATTAACCATTTAAATGATAATTTAAATTATATTATTCAGATTCTCTATTCGGGCTTGTTGTGTACGATGAAAGGATAGGAGTTTACAATCTGTACTGCGCGAAACCGCACGTGCGACACGTGCGCATAGCCAACGGCTCCTGTCCCATAAATCTGCAGGAAATGATACAACATGATGACACTCTTGTTAGGGTAGGCGTTTTCTTTGCAACATTTCGTTTGTAATCTTACCCTATTGTTGTCAATTTCGGAGTATAGCCAGTCTTTGATAATATAATATCTAATAAATGATGTCATTTACTGTTTTAATATATCCATGTTTAATAGGTTAATATCTTGACCTTAAAAGGATATAGATATAACTCTGGGTTGTCTCTGGTTTATTTTAAATAACGCTATATTTTATCAGGTGGGTGATATGAGGAAGAGTATCTACGCAGCAATAGATAATATCTCCCAAATAGCCCAGCAAGGAGGTAATCGCTGTTTTGGGGCGGCCGTACAAAGTTTGGTAGAGTTCTTCTCCGTCTACCAGGGACACACTACTTTTAGAGGTTTGTCATATTTATAATTATGTTATCTTATGTTTCATTTCCGGAAGTTTTTAGTTTGGGTACGTGGGTTGTACAGGTTGAAGACCCACGCCCCCCCCACCCCCCCCCCCCCCCCCCCCCCCCCCCCGGCCCCGGCTCCCTAAAGCTGTAGCATGTAACCCGAGAGGTCTGAGTTTTACAAAACTAGGTTTTATTTGACACGTGTTAGATGGGTAATACAACAAATAAAACACTGTTATAATGAATCAATGATCTAAAAAAGAACAACTGCAACTGTCACATAACATGTAGTAGGGCTAGGCTAGAGATCTAGCCAGCTGAAAATAATATTTCCCAGCTTATATTTATCAAACAAAATACAGCTTTTGTACTATTTAATGTTTAAAGGCACGTACCTGGCATTGCCACTCCGGCTCTATGCAAACAATGATAATATGTTAATATTAATTGTTTTAATACACCTGAGCTGGATCTGGATTTAAATACTGATCTCACAGTTATATATTATAACATATTATAAACTACTGTATAATCTACATTATGTTATATAACTATAGAGCAGTAACAGGTGGTGTGTACTGTGTGCGTGTGCACATGCTTCGCATCAGATACAATTGTGTTTTAATGTATACATTACATTACAGTTAAAAACTGTATGTTGGTACAACGTAACGTCATAATTATTTGTTTGGCAGAGCTAATGTAATACCCAGCCCCCACGTGCAGTGAAGACCATGCTTTTACCCTTTCAACTATTAATGTACTCTAGGACCTAAATATTTCTGTAAACGTAGTTACTACATCCAGGGTTTACAATTACCCTACGCATGAAAGGCTGGCCCTTCAATTAGGTACCCCCTTCATCAATCTTATTGTTTGTATTCAAATATCCTAATCTTCATCTATTTGTACCCAAATGTTACGAAAAATATATAATTTCACTCAAAATGGCTAGAATTTCGTAAGTGGGCTGAAAGTGCATAAACTTTTTTGTTTATTAGTTTTTGTAATTATTTTCTTACGACTTTCAGCTCGACTGCTAACGTTCCTAAGTGGCCCCTGTACATTTGGTGTCGAGGCTCTAACACAAAGACGAAGTAACACTTACAAACAGGGCATATTCAAGTAAGTCAAGAAATATCTTAGATATTTAACATGATCTCCACATAAATTGTCCTTTAAGTGCGTTCGATATTTTCCATTACTGAAATATTTCAAATATTATGTTAATATGTAATTATGCGGCTGTGATCAAAATTCAAAGTCATGTGTATTTAATCACGTGTTATGTATTTAATCAAGTGTTATGTATTTACTCACCACCAGGAGTAAAGATGTTTACAATGAGGGAGTACACAAGAAAGTTTTCCAAGCTCAATCCAACTTCTATAAAGATCTGGTAAGTTTGCCGCCTATACTATTTAAATTATCCAACCTTTTTTAAAGATCTTTTAGGTTTGCTGCCATTGCTCTTTAAAATGTGTCCTGAACTGTTGTGATAACGATAAATACTTGGGTGTGGCAATTTATAGTTATTAATATTTACTAGAATCAGCTATTACTAGAGCTCTAGAGAGATTGTAAATTCCTTTTAAAGTCGAGAGAAATATATTCAAATTTATTGAGTAGATTAAACCTTTGCTAATTGTTAACCTCACACAAGAAATAGTAACCTTACTGTCGACCTCAAACAAGAAACATTAAGGGGGCTTGGGTCTTCAAAATTGACTTTATAGTTGTCTCTGATGGTGGTAAAAAATGTCTATTTTCTCGAATTTTTGGTATCATTGTAATTCTCAGAAATGCGATCTCAGAACACACGACCATAACTCTTGGAAAACTTGGATTGCTGAGAATCATTATTAAAAACCGCCGTGCAGCTAGTTAATCGAACAACAAAATCCGTGTAGTTTTGCTGAAATTAGTAACACCTTGGCTGCCCGGCTGCCAGCTGGACTTTATTATTAACAAATATCCATTAGACTACACAATAGCATAAAATGCATAATGTTGCAAAATAACCATGTATTTCCAAGGATCGTGATTGAAAATCGCCCACACACTACAATAATTACACATGAGCGCTGACCTTTGACCAGCAATAACTTCGGCTAGGAACAATTTTTCCATGGGATCAAAAGCAGCCGATGGATATCGCATCACTCCCCTCTAGTCTATAATCAAAAACGATTGTAAAGTCAATTTCAAGAGAATTTTCATGAAGACCTCCTTAACCTCACTGTTAACCTCACACAAGGAATATTAACCTCACTTTTAACCTCACACAAGGAATATTAACCTCACTTTTAACCTCACACAAGGAATATTAACCTCACTGTTAACCTCACACAGGGTATGCTAGCCTCACTGTTAACCTCACACAGGGTATGCTAGCCTCACTTTTAACCTCACACAGGGTATGCTAGCCTCACTGTTAACCTCACACAGGGTATGCTAGCCTCACTGTTAACCTCACACAAGGAATATTAACCTCACTTTTAACCTCACACAGGGTATGCTAGCCTCCTCCCGCGGAGTCAGTGTTGACGTGTACGTGGTATCCAGTGAGTGGGTGGATCTTGCCAGTATCAGATCTGTGTGTGAACTTACTGGTGGGCGTCTGGTCCACTACACCGACCCAGTGGAGTGCAGCCTCTCTAAAGACTGGTTAGTATCTCTCTGATTATATCAGACTGACACGTTACAGTTATTCTGGGCTGTGATTGGTCAATGCTGGAAGGTGATTGGTCAATGCTGGAAGCTGATTGGTCATTTCTGGAAGCTGGTTGCTTAAACCCAGTCACTTTTTGCTGAGAAAATATACGGTTTAAACTTCCCTCCATAATCCAAATAGTTGTGTTGTTAAATAGTTCATTTGAAGTAGAGTTTCCTAATTTTCCTACCCTGTAAAGTCTCTTAGTTTTATTGTATTTTATGAGAGGTGAAATCTCAAACGACTGGCCCAATTGCAATAGCCGTATAGTTTTGTAAGGGCACATTATCATATTGCTGACTCGGTCGGCATGGTGGTGTCATGCCGAGTCAGCAAGGGAATAGGAATTTGTGGTGTTTTAACTGTTAAATGACCATACCGGTTGTGGTACTGCTAACTTGTTAACCTGTTAAGATCCCCCTCATGCTTGCGTCATCCTCTGGGCTCGGAGACAATGGCAGGTCACATAACAACTAGCTAAACTGCTGTCATGATCTAAGATCCTTATATCCTATCAGAACTGCGCATATTCCCAATAACGTTTATAATTTTGTAGTTGAGTATCTGATTCTCTATTGATTGATTGGCTCCTGTCAGTTTGACGACATCAACCACTCTTCGTATTGAAGTTGTGCCAATTTCAATTGTATTGGCTAGTTCTAATTTCTGTCGAATCTTTGACTAGACGACGCGAATAGTTGACTAGACTAGTTTCTATAGAAAGTAGAAACTAGAACTATTAAAATTTAAATAGTCGTCTCGTGACCCTGATCTTTATGAGGATCTTTATGGAGGAGTCCTAACTCTCCTCACGTCCGTGAATGGAGTTTTCTTTGTATCATATATAAATAATCTACCACATACAACACGATAATACCGTATAAAATAACAGCTAACTGATTTCAGTGCAACTTTAGCCAAGCTTTACGGGGCAGGTCGGGGCATGTTACGTATCCGCACCTCCGCTCAGTTCCGTGTCTCTAAAGTGCGGGGACCCTGCGCGCCAGATCCCTACAGAGACGACGTTCTGCATGCAGCTGGGCTGGACTTACATCAGGTACAACGAGCGTGACACTGTTCGTGATATTGCATTTACATGTCACTTGAAGTGACACTGCCCGGGCATTGACATTTAATTATATTCAATTTGCTGTTTTAATGAAACAGAATTTGATAAAGAAAAATGTTAATTTGACAGCCAGTCGATGCATGATAGGTTATGAGTGGTAGTGTTAGTACTCATATTGCTACAACTACCTTATGATTAAGAAACTAGCTATCGAATTACTTTATTAGTAGAACAAAATTTTACAATTTCTAAATATTTATTAGTTACAATAGTGAGAAAAATCATATGGATTATCGAACTTATATAATTGAATAATATAATAATTTAATATTAAATGAATAATTGAATAATGAATATTCGTCCAGGCGTTTGCTGCAGAGTTTGCGTTTTACCGCGGCTCAGTTAATGCATTCGAAGAGCAGAGACCAGCAATTGTACAACTAACTTTCGCTTACACTAACGAACTGGGACAACGAAAACTCAGGTAAATTTTTGACTTAAAAACTTAAATATTGTGTTTTTTAAGTCTACATGTACTATTTACAAAGTGTTTAAATGTTTACGTATCGGAACCTAGAGTTCACATTATACCTCGTATTTTCCATATCGGTAATACATTTCTCTAATTCGCTATTTATAGCGAATTATTGAATTAACACCGAATATAGACAAAACCGAATTATAGAGCAGTATTCTAGTAGATGGAGTAACCCGGGCCGGGGTCCTATCTTTCTAATCTTCGGGCCACTTACTTCCTAAAATTTCGATAAGGTCTGTAAAGCTGTAATTTAAGAACAATTATCACAGAATACAGACGCTGAAGATTTCAACGGTTGAGTACATTGAGAACATGTTTGATAATGCTGATCCAGAAGTCATCACAAAACTTTTCGTCTACAGGGTACGTTAAATGAATAAATAAATTAGTTGACAATTTACTTGGATACCTCTCACTTTCCTACATAATATATTGTAGTTACATATTATTATCTCCCTATTAATCTATTAATGAGAATGTAAGAAAGCAATTATCTGCATGACACTTTGCTTTGTTCTCAATAAATCGCAAAATAAACGTAGAAATTAGATATTTGTTATTTGCCCTATTTGGGAGACACTGAGCCTCAACTACTCAAATCGCCACAAGATCAAAAGACTCCCACGTGAAATCTTACGCAGTTCATTTAAATATAAGGAATCGTTCCACCTCTCATAATATTTATTATAAACAAATTATCATATGACTCGCCTGGTTTCATGCCCTATAAAGCCATTAGCGGGACTACTTACAGGATAAAGAGAACCACTGTCACTCCAATTAATACAGCGTTTATAATATCAGGTCCTCTGTGCCCCTCTCAGATTCCCTTCGTCTTTCTACAGCTACTGCAGTTTATAGAGCATAATTAGATGTCACCTTTTAAATGATAGTCAGAGTAGCTGTCGCCCCCGGCCCCCTTCTAGTTCTATTTTTATGTCTCTGGATTCCCGGCGGGTGTTTTGTTAGAACTTTCATTATTGGAATCTTTGAAATGAGTCAGTTGATGGAAAATGGCCAAACACTCTCTTAAACTCAATAAAGTCCAGAGAAAATAGATAGAGCTTTTAACTCATTAGATGCGCTTCATGATCAGCAACTGATCAGTGATCATGGAGCGTAAAATATGTGCAAAAAACGTCACATTTTGGAATGTACATCAAATTAGGTTAAAGTGTGATTTAGGTCCAGAGTACGTTACGTTCCTAAAATTGGAAGCCACTAGCTATCTTCGATATCTGTCAAAATGTCACTGAAACTAGCCGATGATTAAAAAAGTGATCAAACGGTCGCGGTGCTCCCTCCCTCTCCCTCTCCCTCTCCCTCTCCCTCTCCCTCTCCCTCTCCCTCTCCCTCTCCCTCTCCCTCTCCCTCTCCCTCTCCCTCTCCCTCTCCCCCTCTCTCTCTCTCTCTCTCTCTCTCTCCTCTCTCTCTCTCTCTCTCTCTCTCTCTCTCTCTCTCTCTCTCTCTCTCTCTCTCTCTCTCTCTCTCTCTCTCTCTCTCTCTCTCTCTCTCTCTCTCTCTCTCTCTCTCTCTCTCTCTATCTCTCTAAAATGACAAGATCGGAGCGTTCTCTGACAGTAATACCTAAAGTCAGTCATTATACTCTGGTCTTAACGTTAGATGATGTATCTAACACGTGAGGTGTTGAGGATGAATTTGAAAACATTTTAACCACCCCAACTGTAGCTTAGTTGAGTAATACTAATAGTGGTTAAGCCTAGATCTTGATTTTTGTGATTATTACCTGAATCTGTAACTCGGCAGCCTTGTCGAGATATTAGACGGATATAAACTTGTCGTCTTGACAGGCTCCAGTATAACTATAAAACTATATGGTCATATAATACATATAATATAATATGTATATAATATGATTTACCAAGGTAGTACTTTTAACCTACAAACTGTTGTCAAAAGTACCGACATTGTACAGTGTTTTAGGTGTAAGGACAGTTTTCATGCTATCAACTGTGATGAAACTTGCAATGTCAGTGCGCCCACGGTTTTTACTGCTCACCTGTCTCATGCTGTGAACAACACTTCATCTTATGCTAAACGATTTGGTCGCTTTCTATTTATCTGTAATGATTGTAGTACTGCTGAGGAGGAAAAGAGGGCTGCTACTACCGTAGATCGGGTAGGATTGTTAGATAATAAAATAGATGCCATAAATTTGGAGTTCAGGGAAGAGATGTCTGAACTTAAAACCTTGCTGAAGGAACAACTGTCCCAGAAACCTGAGAGAGCTCAAGAGCGATCCTCAGATCAGGTTGATTTTATGAAACAATTTGCTGAACAGTTTTCATCTTTAAAAGAAGACCTCACGAAAAATATCAATGATGTTATTGACAATAAAGTAAACACTGTTGTAACAAAATCCGGTACTGATTCTCATAAAAAGGACGTTCTCTATTCCAGCTTGTTTACCGACTCAAACAGTTCCACACCATCTGCTCAACCACCACATGTTCCAATTGCTCCAACACGTACACAACCTTCATCACCCGAGATTCTAATTCTGTCCCCGAAAGAAGAACAATCGGTAAATGCTGCAACAATGACGAATGTGAAAAAATTTGCTACTGATAAATTAAAGAGCAGTCAAGTAGTATTTCTCAGATGTAATGAAAACAACAAGAAAGTTTCAATTGGCTTCCCTAATGCTGAAATTCGTGATAAGGCTACTTCACTTCTCAATGATGGAAATACCTTAGATTCGTATGGATATCAGTCTAAGAATGGCAACAAAATGCTGCCAAAAGTTACTATTTATGGTGTTTCTTCTGAAGTTCTTGACGATATAGACACTACAGCTGTAGGGAATGATGCCGATAAACTTAGGGATCTTGAAAAGAACCACTTAGTCGCCCAAATTGTGGAGAAAAACTCGTCCAACAAAGATTTGTATGAAGCAGGGCACACTATCAGTATTGTCTATCTCAATAAGATAAAACGTTTGACCAACGATAAGCAGGAACGCACAGAGCTCACTATTGGAATCAAACTATCACCATCTGTCTATAGAGTCCTCTTTAACCAACAACAAGGATCTCTCTATTTAGGTAGTCGCAGATACAAAGTAACTGATCGCTTCTACATCAAACAGTGTTATCATTGTCAAATGATTGGACACACTTCTGTTGACTGTAATGAAGTCAAAACAAATAAACATCCTACCTGCATGTACTGTATGGGAAGTCACCGGTCTTCAGCATGCCAATTTAAGCAGAAGAAGGACAAACATGCCTGTGCTCGATGTCTGGCTTCAACACACACTAATGATGCCGAGAATTCAAGAACACATAATGCGGCAGCTTACGATTGTCCTGTGTTGGTAAGAGAAACTAAACGTATTGCTGCTAACACTGACTTTATTTCAAAAAACGTAATGTGAAATTAGGTGCTAATCGACAGAAATCACAGCTTTCTATTGGTTGTTTCAACGCAAGGTCTCTATGCAACAAAACTTGTGGCGTACTAGAAATGCTTAAAGATAACTCGATTTCTATCTGTTGTATCACGGAAACTTGGCTAAAAACTAATGATCGGGCAAAGTTTGCCGAAATCCGTGATTTTGGGTTCGATATTATCAGTGCCCCTCGAAGAGGTAGGGGAGGTGGTGTTGGTTTTATCTTCAACCCAAAAATGATATCGCCTGTACGCAATGATGTTACTAAATATTCATCTTTTGAAGTACTTGAATGTGTCATTAAAACTGCTGGTGAGATTATCAGGCTATGTGTAGTTTATCGCAGCACTCAGGCCAAAGCGAAATATGATGAAACAAAAATATCTAAGTTTATGGATGACTTTGATGGATACCTGGACAATCTTCTGCTTAAAACTGGATCTCCAATTATTTGTGGTGACTTTAATTTCCATGTTGAAGACATATACAATAATGCTGCCCAGAACTTTATTGCTCTTTGTGAGAGCAAAGGCTTCCTTCAGCATGTCGACTCTCCTACTCACATCTCCGGCGGGACACTGGACTTGTTATTTACTCTAGGCTGTGTAAGTGACTCATTGTCTGTAACAGATATGATGGTAGAGACAAGCACTGGAACCAGCTCTGATCACTATCTATTAAGTTTTCAGGTCCCAGTCACATTCGATCTTCATAAAGCTCGTACATATGAAGAAAAAGATGTCAGAGAGCTAAGCAAAATTGACATCGATAAGTTCAGGGAAGATCTGTTTTGTTCAGAGCTTAACCTTTCTGAATATCAATCCTTAGACGAGGCTGTGAACCTTTATCAAAATGTCCTTGAACAGGTGCTAGACAAACATGCCCCACTTATTACGAAACGATTTACTGCTGAAAAGTCTGATTTTTGGGATAATAAATGTCAAATTGCTGTCAGAGAGAGGAGAAGGGCAAAACGAAAAGCCAAAAAGTATCCAGAGAATGATGAGTTTAAAACTACTCATTTTGAAAAATGTGTTGACGCAGAAATCACTATCAATCGAGCTAGGGATGGCTACTATGATAAACAGCTCAGTTCTTGCAAAGGAGACTCGAAAGGGACCTATAAAGTCATAAATAAACTTTTAGATAAGGAATATGGCTCCAACAAATTGCCAAATGGTGAAGATATCGAAGTGGCTGCCAAACTCAAGACTTTCTTCGATCAAAAAGTAAAGACCATTTACTCTAATATTGAGAAGGAAATTCAAAACACTTCCCTAAACGGTCAAGGTACCAAGGACTCTACTTCGATAGATAATGCAAAGTGTAGACTTAATCAGTTTAAGGAAGTCTCATTATCAGATCTTGAAACCTTAATTAAGAGTCTTCCCAATAAATCAAGCGTACTCGATGTCATACCAATGTGGCTCTTCAAGAACTGCTTACCCGAGCTTCTCCCAATCATCCATTACATCGTGAATGAATCACTAAGAGTCGGAAAGTTTCCATCTGCCCTAAAAGAAGCATCTATTAGGCCTGGACTCAAGAAACCTACCTTAGATGTTGATGAGCTGAAAAACTATCGACCGATTAGCAATCTAACTTATCTGTCCAAAATACTAGAAAAAGTAGTTCATTGCCAATTAAATGAATATGCTGATGTCAACAACCTGTTTTCCCCATATCAATCAGGCTATAGAAAATTCCATAGTTGTGAAACTGCAGTTACCAAAATACATAATGATATTCTAATGATGATTGACAGCAAATCGAATGTTGTGCTTCTACTCTTAGATCTATCAGCTGCTTTCGACACCATAAACCATAACCTCCTTCTTACGAAACTCAAGAATGCGTATGGTATTACAGAACTAGCACTCAGCTGGTTACAATGTTACCTTAATAATCGCACATTCAAGGTTAAAGTAAAAAAAGCCACATCTTCTGAAGGCTATCTGGATATTGGTGTACCTCAAGGATCCATTTTAGGACCACTACTGTTCATATTGTATACCAGAGATCTTGAAGAAATTGTCACAAAATATGGTTTCTCGATACATTTGTATGCAGATGACACACAGGTGTACTTTACTTTTGATGTTCACAGTTCTAATCCTGATTTAACAGCTGTGAAAAATTGCTTTCTGGAGATAAAGCAATGGATGACAGTTAACTTCCTAAAACTGAATGATGAAAAAACAGAGTTCATTGATATAGGTCCATATGTCAGCCCAATCCAGACAATGGATTTAGGAGACCTCTCAATCTGCCCTGTTAGCAAGGCCAAGAACCTGGGATTCCTTTTCGATCACCAAATGAATCTGGACTCTCAAATAAATGCTGTCTCCAAAGTATGTTATTTGAATCAAAGGGACTTAGCAAGAATCGGTTCGAAGCTTTCCCATGACCTAAAAGTTCAGTTAGTTCACTCCAATATCCTCTGTTTCATAGACTACTGCAACTCAGTCTATTATGGTATAACAGAAAAGAATCTCCATAAGCTACAAAAGATACAGAACAATGCTGCTAGATTTATCTTTGGTCTTTACGGAAAAAAGATACGTGAACCTATCATGCCTTACCTCAAAAAGCTCCACTTTCTGCCTGTTCGGTTCAGAATTAAGTTCAAAATATCACTTCTGGTCTTCAAGTGTCTTAATAACATAGCCCCTCAGTACTTACAAGGACACGTCAATCTAAGGGAAGTACGAAGACGAAGTTCCAGACTAGATGATGACTTTTATTTGTTGAAAGTTCCTCCTGCTCCTCATTTCAGACGAACAGATGCTGCATTTATGTTTTGTGGACCAAAAATTTGGAATGAACTACCCTACTCAGTGAGATCATTATCATCTGTAGAATGTTTTAAAAATGCCCTAAAGACGTTTTATTTCCAACTAGCTTTTGATAATATTTCTAATATTTGTCCATAATGTCTGAACTGATATGAAAGTGCATAATTTTGGTAACTTCATACAAATATTTGTTCATAAAATCTGAACTGTTTAAAAAGTCCATAATCTTGCTATTTCAACACTAAGTCTCGCTTGAATGACTTTAATGTACATCTTTGTTGGGTATATTTTAATGTCGAAGCGTGTAATAAATGTTAGAATTTATTTATTATTTATTTAAATATAATACTAATATTTCATAACTGTAACATAAACTGTTCCAGAGTCTGGACGCCTGCTACAGGTGGGGGGTAAATGAAGGTCGGGTTAACGTGCTAGACACGTACGTGTACCTGCTATCCCACTACAACGAGACGCTACCCTACGATTCTCAGGAGTTTGATGTCGAGTTCTCCGTTTATCCTCACTTACAGGTACATTTACAGTTATTTACAGTATACATTTTCAGAACTGTATAACCATTTTAGAATGGAAATGACATCAGGTCATTATATAGTCGACAGTCGTAAGATCGTGAACTGGCACAATAACTCGAATCCCAAGTAACCAGCGCTGTTTATGTTGTTACATTTAAACTCAAGTGTCACAAACTCGCTTCAAGAATATATTATATTATACGCTTGATCATTGATGGAACTACAAAAATTATAGAGTTGACAAACAAAATTGGTAAACTTCACATATTACTATTATAGTATCGATCTCAGAGCCCGACTCCATCTGATAAATATTCGATATTGGTGCATTTAGTTACATCTAGTTCACCACTGTACTACTGTAGTAAAGTCGACATATTAGATAGTCACGATACCGAACCTACTCGAATATATACACAACAGTATACTTGTTAGCCTCATTTCACCCTCTCAAAAGGTAGTTAGCCTCATTTTCACCTCGAATATTTGAAGCTATAATCCCAAGGAATTTAATGTGCAACATAGATATCAAGTAACTTGTGAGTTGTTAACCTGTTACCGTACATTAAAGTTAAGGGGGCCGGGGGGGGGGGGGGTCTTCATCAAAATTCTCTCGAAATTGATTTTATAGTTGTTTCTGATAGAGGGGAGTGATATCTATCAGCTGCTTTTGGTCCCATGGAAAAATATTGTTCCTAGCCAAAATTATCGCCAGTCAAAGGTCAGCGCTCATGTGTAATTGTATTGCGCGAGCGATTTTCAATCGCGCGCCCTGAAAATCGAGTCTAAAAATCTATCTTCTCCTACATTTTTTGAGCAATCACCCTGAAACTTTTAGGATATGTTCTAGGGATCATTTAGAAGATATCTGTCGAGCCGAATTTTGAGATAGGCCTTAGAAGATTTTTTATTCAATTTTGAAAATCTTGGACCTGGAAAAATCGTAAAAAAATGAGGTCCAAGATTTTCAAAATTGAATAAAAAATCTTCTAAGGCCTATCTCAAAATTCGGCTCGACAGATATCTTCTAAATGATCCATAGAACATATCCTGAAAGTTTCAGGGTGATTGCTCAAAAAATGTAGGAGAAGATAGATTTTTAGACTCGATTTTCAGGGCGCGCGATTGAAAATCGCTCGCGCAATACAATTACACATAAGCGCTGACCTTTGACTGGCGATAATTTTGGCTAGGAACAATATTTTTCCATGGGACCAAAAGCAGCTGATAGATATCACTCCCCTCTATCAGAAACAACTATAAAATCAATTTCGAGAGAATTTTGATGAAGACCCCCCGGCCCCCTTAAAATGCGGTCAAATTCTTTATTAGCCTCATTTTGGCCTCCTACAAGTAGACTCGGCGATTTCTGAACTGTTGAGCTTGAAGAGGATGAATCAATTTTTATTGTTGACATATTAGATTATAGTCACGATACCGAACCTACTCGAAAATATACACAACAGTATACTTGTTAGCCTCATTTCACCCTCTCAAAAGGTAGTTAGCCTCATTTTCACCTCGAATATTTGAAGCTATAATCCCAAGGAATTTAATGTGCAACATAGATATCAAGTAACTTGTGAGTTGTTAACCTGTTACCGTACATTAAAGTTAAAATGCGGTCAAATTCTTTATTAGCCTCATTTTGGCCTCCTACAAGTAGGCTCGGCGATTTCTGAAATGTTGAGCTTGAAGAGGATGAATAAATTTGTATTGTTGACACATTAGATAGTCACAATACCGAACCTGCTCAAAAATATACAAAAAAGTATACTTGTTAGCCTCATTTTACCCTCTCAAAAGGTGGTTAGCCTCATTTTCACCTCGAATATTTGAAGCTTAGATATCGATAAAGTCTCAATAACCTTCGGGCTTCAATAACAAGTTTATTAGTGGGTCCATAACCTGTTTCCGTACATTAAAGTTAAAATGCGGTCAAATTCTTTATTAGCCTCATTTTGGCCTCCTACAAGTAGACTCGGCGATTTCTGAAATGTTGAGCTTGAAGAGGATGAATACATTTTTATTGTTGACATATTAAATAGTCACAATACCGAACCTGCTCAAAAATATACACAAAAGTATACTTGTTAGCCTCATTTCACCCTCTCAAAAGGTGGTTAGCCTCATTTTCACCTCGAAGAATTAAAGCTTAGATCTCGATCAAGTATAATCACTATGGATTATACTTGCAACTTGGATATCATGGACGTAACACGAGAATGTTCTTTTTTGAAAATAATGAGTAAATTTGTTAGCCTCAATTGTCCCTCGCAGTTCAATCACTCCTACTGAGTTTTGTGAGTGAGCTAGGAGGTCGCCGGACATCTCATTTTTAAGCCGTATTGATTTTCTATACGCATACAAAAAATTGAATGCGTAACTAAAACAGAAATGAAATTAAGGATGTTTTAAATTTTTTTTCAAAAACGAACTTTTAGGGGTGTTTCTAATGACCAGGGTCTACTTTATATTTCTGAATCTGTCACATTTAATTTTAATAACTTAAAGTGTTACGATGCAGATCGTCAAATGTAGATAAATTGAAATTGTTGAAAGATAAACATAATATTTTCAGATCATGGCAGCATTGGTATACGGAATGTTCATCTGCCCCTTCATGTCATGTAGACCCGATATTTCCCTGGATCAATTGGTAGCATTCCAATCAAAGTGCATGTGAGTGTTACCATGGCAACAAAACATTACACATTTTCCCTGTAATAATATTTTTTTGATTAGATGTGGATTTTCGAGAGAAGATTATGTTTCAGTGACACTTCAGAATACAGTTTCACACAAATAAGAAATCTTCAATCTCTGTCCAAAGATATTAACATTCTATAGACGTTATGACATGTCATAAAAGTCAACTTTGTTCGCTATTTTGCGTCGTTCTTTGACCAGACACTTTAGCTATTCCCAGAAATAAAAATATGTAGCTGGTATTGGTCTGAACTTATATAGAATCTTGATATTTCCATACTAAGTCTCACTTGAATGACTAAAATGTAAATCTTCGGTGGGTTATATTTTAATGTAGAAGCGTGTAATAAATGTTACGATTTATTTGTAACTGGTCTTGCAGTTCCAAGTTCACCTGCAGTTGGAAAAGCTAGAATAGTTAGAATAATCTTTTTGGTGGAATAGGAAGAGTAAAGATAACGCAGAAGAATGCACATTCTTTGCAATAAAACCACCCTAATTTCAGATCAGCCAACCCGGAACACCTCGCCCTCCTGTTCTACCCTCATCTCATGAGTTTCGAGGATCCACATCAATCACCCGGGTTTGTTCTAGTTATGTTTTAAAATTGCTCCTTCTTATCTGGACCAAGATTTTGGAATGCTGTCGGTCGATTCTGCAAGCTGCCGTTCAAAACAAACTTGCGCAACATTCCTGATAATCCATGCTCGGTTTAGTGTACAGCTCAGCTCGGGTTTGCTAGTACTCTTAGAAGGTGTTAATCCAGCTATTGCTGCATGATCGCTGTATTATTTGCCACAAACTTGCAAGAAGCTGTCCAGCTTGTCCTATGTGGGACTTAGCGTCTACTTTTAGGAAATGATTAATTATTGTTGTCTTAAATGGAACGCGCGAAAAGGTTTGCGGTGCATACACTGCATCGCCTAACGCATTTTCTTCGACATCAATGAACGTAACGATCGTTCGTATATACGAAGCTCTAGTGCAGGCGCGCGTGCATGAATATAATAATTAATACATGACAGATGTTGTTGCTCGTGCGTGCAGGTAGAAATACATTGTTGGTCAGATGAGGCCGCTGCAACAACTATAAAGGCTTACCACACCTGCAATAAGCAATTATATATCTTCTCAGCCGAATCTGACCTCTCAGCTCGCTCTAAGAAGACAACACAGTACACCAATTCTATAGTTTGTGCACATTTCTGCTAATGCTTTTGAGAATGGAGATAAAGAGAGCACGAACTGGTTTCTTTGTTTAAAATAAAATACAGGTGCTGAAAGATGTGGTCAGTGGTGGGCGACATTAAAGAAATGCATGTAGCTATAGTAACCCAACCACTTTTCAGGCTCTCTCTACCTCTGAGCCCTATTACAGTTAAGTCAGTGCAAAACTCCTTTATCCTACTGGACGCTTACGACACAATCATTGTTCTCCAGCCACAGCTGGGTGAAGCAGGTGCGTAATTTGTGAACTATTGTAATCTATCGGAATATTTGTTTTCAGTTTTTCTGAATGTATGTGTGAATGTAAGAGAAAGAGAGAGAAAGATGGAGAGAATGGGTGATTGGGTGGGGTGTGAGTGGAGTGTGAGTGTGAGTGTGAGTGTGAGCGTGAGTGTGAGTGTGAGTGTGAGTGTGAGTGTGAGTGTGAGTGTGAGTGTGAGTGTGAGTGTGAGTGTGAGTGTGAGTGTGAGTGTGAGTGAGTGTGAGTGTGAGTGTGAGTGTGAGTGAGTGTGAGTGTGAACTGTGAGTGTGAGTGTGAGCGTAAGGTTCTGCCTCAATGTGACTCTAGTATTATATTTAACCTGTACCATCAGTAGGAAAGGACGGAGTGGAGGCTACTGCTATAGAGTTTAGTGAGATTAGTCTGGAACCAAAGAACACACTTGCTGTAGACAGTAACAAAGTCAAACCAGCTGACTTAGGTAAAACTCCTCCCTATACCAGGGAATACTATTTATTATTTGCTATTTTTATTCACTTTTTTACAGTATTTAGATTCGTCTTAAACCAGGCATTGCCTATCTTTTCAATTTTGTTGAGTAGCTGGGCCTTCTCAATCTACAAATCTACAAAAGGTTCAGGCTAGTGTGTTAAATTTATCATCTACTCAGGTACAATAGATAAGTATGTGGACGAGGCTCAAAGGACTCGGCCCCTGAATGTGAATGTAGTAAACACCTCTAACCCCGCCCCCATCTGCAAATATCTGATAAACGACTCTGGGGCTGTCAATATCTGCATGTAAGTAATACCCTCACTTCATACTGCCCACTGCACGTGCCACTTTCATACTGCACACGTGCCACTACCATACTGCACACGTGCCACTACCATACTGCACACGTGCCACTTTCATACTGCACACGTGCCACTACCATACTGCACACGTGCCACTTCCATACTGCACACGTGCCACTACCATACTGCACACGTGCCACTTTCATGCTACCCACGTGTCAGATATCCGCACCAATCTGCATATATCCACGTGCAAGGGTTTTGGACTTGATTAAGATTGCAAAAACATACATTAATTCTAAATCCTCGTGTTCGTGGTAAAGATTGGAGAATATTAATAAGTTATAAAGCTTGTTATTTTCGAAATAATTTTGATCAATGTTTCGAAAACCCACTCCTTACTGTTACAGTGTTACCCTCATAGTTACGACTGTATTTCCATAGTAACGACTTGGTAACCATAGTAACGACTGTATTTTCAGGCCCGGTTCCAGCTACGATCATTACTACTGGAGGGGTTACAAAGCTTTCTATAAATTCATCGTCACTCAGCTTCATAGGTATTGAGATTTATAACATTCTAATAATTCAACAAAACCTCTTATTTAATTCAACCACATTTACTGAGAGTTTCCTAGTTGCACAACACCCCTTGTGTCTAGTACAGGGTTATCCAGAAGATTCCACAGTTCTCCCGGCTAGTTAGGTTTTACTAAGTACATCTGGTAATGTAACTACTAACTATTAGTAACCAGTTTGTCTTGGAGTTGCTTGTTAGTAACCGAGGTTACTTGCTCAGATTATACTACCCTGAGGGAGATAGTAACTACGGTTACTGTCTGTTTCCATATAACTGTTGTTATATGTTACTGCAGTAAAACCTCGGCATGCCGATTGCCGGGTATATTCTTCTCTCCCAAAGTTTGAGTCGATTAGCCCGTGTTTGGCCACTCCGTGCAAGAAAGAGAAGAAATGTAATTTTTTAGTGCTTACATTACATTTTTTGGTGTTATGAGTACATATCGAGCTGAATTCCATCGCAATGATTCCACCGACATAATGCAAGGCACATAATGAGATGGTATGTCCTTACAGAGCTCTGAACGACAGCTCTGCAGAGGTTACAGATACTGAGTACTTGTGATTGGGATTACCTGAACCTCTATAGCGTTTTCTTTCTTCTATACTTATAGCGCGCACTTTTCGTTTCTCCCGAGAAGCCCGGTATAGAGAGGTTATACTGTATTAGTACCTATATAGTGCGATATAACGCAGAGTTTGTGGGAAAGGAAACACCCACGGGTCTAGCGGTAAATCGGGGTTTTGATTGTTCAATGTTCACGTTATGTATGTTATTGTTAACTGTTAGTGTTAAGCCCCAATTGAGAGAAAGAAAAATGGCCGCTGTAAATCAGAGTGCGCGGGGTTTTATTGTAACCAGTATGTCTATGAGTTACTGTAAGAGCAGTTAGTAACCATGGTAACCTCCTCAGATTGTACGACCCCGAAGGTGAAAGTGACTACGAAGAACCAACTGATGAAAACTGTCCAGATGTTCCTTCCAACTTCACCCAAGCTTAAAATTGCCATGACATAAAGCTTATTTAGTAGTTACCATGACAACGAGCTTAGTTACAACAACATTCGCATAGTTACTAGAGATTGCAACAAATAAAGCAATTTTGACAGTTTATGAGCATATGGAAGAGCTTGTTTAATAAGTACACAATTTGACCGTATTAAAGTTAATTTTAGTTTGGCGAAACACTTCAACTGGTGAACTGAAGAATTCACATTGATTTATCAGGCAGCCCTATTTCACTATTTTTTTGCTACAATTTTGCTCATACTGGTAAGCAAAGAGTACTGCTTATAAGAAGTTTCGGAGATATATGGCCAGGGGTACAGTTTGTGTTTCTTTGATATGACCACTCTGATATCGCTGTTTAATCCCACTATTTTCATGGTGTTTTCCGCATTTTTCAATCAGACGAGTATTTGTTGGTAGGAAGTTTGAGCATCAAAGAGTGTACACATATTAGCTCATACAGCTACTCAATGGAGTCAATGCCACTAAATTTAATTTCAGCTTCAGAAGCGTGAGCTATGAGCAAACTTAATGGCCAGATATGCTGCGTATTTAACCAATATTTCCAATCGATTTATGGTGTTAGAAATGAAGAGAACGATTAAGAAACTTCGCTTAACTATTCAAAATCTTTAGCTATTTAAAATTCAAGAATGATGTTGTTGACGATCCCATATTATCTTTTCGCGTTTTTGCTTGATTGATTTAATATTTGAATTATAATTACTGGTATTTCCTAATCTTGTGAATACTATAAGTGTAAAGTTAATACTAAATACATCATTCATTAACTACAGCATGGCATTTAATGTTTTATTGTGAATATGAAAAAATTGTGTTCACCAATTAGTCGAATGTATGATTTAAATTAGCGCAATTGTAAATCTGCGATTGTTAGAGATAGGCACCCTGCATGACTGCGTTTTTTATTCAAATTTCAACTAAGACTTAGAATTAGATCAAAATAACTTTATCATAACTTTTCAGCCCAGATGCGATCCATGATAATTAGCTGTATTTTGTTTATTTGAATTGTTTATTTTGTTTATCATTTTTGCACATTGGGGTTAATGAATACCAGAGTTAGTATTTATCGTGATATTAACTTTATTTCACTCGGCGAGCTAGCAAGAAAGTAACACAACCTTTTCTCTTGACCGGAAATAATTTTGTCATTTATTGCCATTTTAAACCTTGATAGTTTACATAACTCCATGGTGTTTATTTGCTGGTATCTTGAGTATTCACTGTTTTAGTAATTTGATTAAAATATTAATATACAAAAAGATGGTAGTAAATAGTAAGATATTATAACCGCCCTTCTTTTATTGCACTTTTCCTTGCATTTGATTTTATGTGTGAATTCTTTCGAACAATTTCGTGTTTCTTTTTGATTATCTAGAAAATTATTTTGAGGATAGAATGATCAATCTGCATTCAAGCGCAGGAAAATATAAAATTCCTCTAGAAAGGAGTGGTGACTCTTAACGTGCACTTCAGTACGACATGTCACTCCCGGGAGCTGTGTATTTTGCACATAGTTAAGTTTTAAAGATCAGTCAAATAAAAGTAATACCACACGATGTATAATCAATAAAAATAAAATAAAATTTATAACAACCACTAATCTTATATATTTATAAACAAGTTTAAATTTAACATATAAACATCTATATCTCAACACTAACAAATCTTATAATACGCTGCATTTTCTGTCAAATTGGGGTCGGATCTTCAGGCGTTCGATCATGAAATCGAATTTGTACAATTTCAAAGTTTTTGATAATCTTTTATCTTCCATTAACAATTAAACTAACATCCATTCCTATGGTTATTGAATATTGAACCACCTGAAAATCCCTTTAGCTCATAACTACCCCTCGACATAAAAACATCCAATAATTCTGTAAAACAAATATATCTTCTTATAGGTTATAAATATAATTGTCATTCTGCCAGATAGCCGAAGAAATGTTATAAAAAACGATAAAAAACGATACATATCTACTTCGCACATAAAATAGCCGAATAATTGTTGCGGGGTATTTTATCTTAGTCCTAACAAAATACTTAAATACACGTTAATTATGAGCTGCACTTCAGCCTGCTGAGTGCTGAACTACTTCAGAAAATATGTACTTTTCTCAAGTAGAAACAAATTCATACAACTAGTTTACATAATACCCTATAAGTATAACGTTATTATATATTTATAATTATATAACGCGTTATTATTGTTGTACTGGTATAATATGTGAGCTAGAAAGTAATTATAATTATTCTCAGCTTTATCCAGAGGTAATTTGAAATTAAATAACGCCCATAATAAAATTTCTTAAGCTCAAATTTAATGTAAGATTTAACTCTAAGTTCTGTTAGTTGGGAGTAATAACGAACATAAGGTCCTGTGCTCCTATGCTCTCCCCAGATGACACCTCAACAGAAGTAACAGTACCGGATATGGGGCTGCTAATAACCGTCTCCATCTTCATAGCACTTAGCAAACAGAGGGGATCTCCTGCTGCTACCTTCACTCCTTCCGTTACTCGTACTTCTAGGATGTTAGCTGACATGGGTGCTCCAACCTGGGTATAAAACAGCTGTCAGGGGAAACTTGGTAGGTAGTTTTACCGAACGTAAGCCTTACTTAGCTTGCTAGTCTATTGCTCGCGTATAGCCATAGGCATAGCTTCAAGCTTCCTGTTCAGGAAGCTAGTGAAAAGAGCGCCGCGCACAGAGATTGGCGAGCCAGGTAAGCATAGTCACTTTGAAGCCCAGGGTGTCGGACTTGACAGCTATTTAGCGCTGGATATAATATGTACAAATTAGGGATAAAACCAAGTCATACTAATAATTGTGACTAAGTGATCATACTGGGGTCTTATAGTTGTCTCATAGTTGTATACCAATAGAGTGCAAGTGTGATAGATTAAGATTACTAATAATGTTACGTTATAGTGCCTATATATAATATTAATAGAACCTAAAATCGTACCTGGTTTTTCATGGCAGGATCTGCCTTTTTGCGTGTAATTACAGTAGCAGCGCTGCTCTTATTGGCAACCGTTATTCGTTTAGGTGCTCCATTCAGCTCGAAGAAGACATCCTGTTCGGCAGTTTTAGGGTCTACTTGTCCCAGAGCTATGGGCATGATGTAGGCCCGCTTTCCTTTCGATGGATCATATATATACTCCTTACCCACTTCCAGAGGCTTAAACACCTGCAAAGTAATAATTATATTTATAACCAAGTGCGTTATCCAACAGACTATAATCGCAAGTTGGAACTAGCTCTAAAACTTTCTGTTTTGAAGGATCAGTATGGTACTCTGTAGTTAGAATTAGAAACTACGGTAGAGTTCGGTACAATACGGTATTCTAGACTCTCGTACGAATCCGAATCACCGCCCATGAATCATGAGGGTAAAAAACGGGTCCTTGGGGAACGGGGAGTTATGGGCAATAAACTGTATTGGTCACGTGACAAACCATGTCAGATGTGAGTTTGCTGACGTCCCCGTACATATTGAAGTGTTGAGCGAACTCTTCAAATACAGCAGGATACATCGCGTAGCTCATAACATCCCTGAAATCATTGTAACATTCCTGTCAGATAGCAGGTCAGGTATCTCAGATATGTCAACTACCCACGCATAATTTTGTAGTAAAATTACTTAAAACAGTGTTGAGATTCAAGCACTCGATCAATCAGACTTATTTGTATAAACGCTGCAATCAGAATTCAGAGTGTATAACAATAACCAGTTTTAATGTACCTGTCTGTTATCCATGAACCGTATTTCTCTGTCAGATCCTTTTTAATCTGCTCCAAATCAAGTGGTTGTAGTGCGGCCCCAGGTCGACCAGTAACCATTGGTTTGCCTTTCAGCGCTGTGGTTCTAAACGGCTCTGGGAAACCACCTTCTGGTTCTCCTAAGTAACCCTGGTAAATATCTCTTTAGTGATACGTAATACGTATTCTGAGTTAAATCACCTTCGTGTTTCTTCAGTCTTAAGTTTTGTAATAATGTACGAGAATGTTGGGGAGATGTGCACTGTGGAGGGCGTTTTACTTGTCTGCAGCTGATAAACTCTTACTCACAGTAACATGCAATCAAATCTCATTTTTCCGACATGTTTTTATACAAGCTTTCACCACATCCCTATCACTTTGCAAGTTATTAGTTAATCAGGATTTTGTGTACCTAAGGGCCGTTCTCCTGACTCAAGCAGGTGTAATGTATAAATTTATATCCCCATCACTACTGTAAAGAAATTACCAACAACGAAGTTTAGTTATTATTAATACCTGAAGGTACTGTATGACTGATGTTGGTAGATTTAGAGAACCTGCGTCTCTGAGGACATCCTCTTTAGAGAGTTTGTTAGATACCATAACTTGAGCCATGTCACCCACTACCTGTACATTAATATTACATTTAGAGTGAGACTACAATTCACAGTTTCACAATGACTCAGTTAAAAACTGCATCAATATCAAAACATTTCAGGATATAATGTGCTCTTCAATCAGATTCTTACCTTGGAGGATGGGGTGACTTTAACGATGTCTCCTAGAATCTGGTTAGCTTCAGTGTAGGCTTGCTTTACGCGCTTCCATTCACTTCCCAGTCCCAAAGACTGTGCCTGATAAAGAGTCTTTGTGTTTATCATACATTCTTAATTCTAAATCAACACGTAACGTCAAATTTAGTAGTCGAGACTCAAGATCTAAAGATATTAGCTGTAGATTGTAGAAGTATAAATCCAGTCTCCAGATAAACAATCGCTTGATAATTACTGAAATTAATTAGTGAGAGACTGAGAAGACAATGACATGGCATTGAAAGGATTCTCAAGTTAGTGTCCAGAGAAGCACAATACACAGAGTCTAATACCAGTGCTATCGCTAATAACTAAAGACCTGATGTAATGACAGATTGTAAAGAATCTTTCAAAACAAAAGAACTAAAGTCAGTGATAATACTGAATACTGATGAGTATATTGCCCAATCAGATCGCATAACTTCTGTCACGTGACGCGTTAATAGCCAATGCTGGTGTGGGATTGAACTCTATTTATTAACTTTTAGTGGCCGGAAAATAAGTTTCGTACTGCTAAATAACACTGATTAGAATTAGTGGTTTTCAAATTTTCTATCTTGCGAACCATGTATAAAAAGTTGTTCAGAAAATTCCTGCCTTTGACTATTAGCTATGATGTTTGATATGATGTTCGATATTTTGTTTCGAGATTTTTCGGCTAACCTTTCGCAGTTTTCCAAGCCGGACAATCTTATCAGTTCTCTATCAAAGAATTAAATTCCTGATTTTATGATAACTGTAGTGTGCAAACCTCTGAGTTTTTATTGATTCAAAAAGATCTCTAATTAACTAGTATTATATTTATTATTATATAACTTTATTCAAATCAAAAATAGAACATAAAGAACATCTTGATGACCTGATAAGTCACCAAGAGAAAAATAACACAGAATAAACTAAATCATGCTTAACTCTCTCCATGCTTTTCTATTTGTCGCTAAAAATCTTAAATGGTATAAATCGTCTGTATTTACAAGTCTAAAGTTTCTATCACTTAAATCGTTCAAAATAGTTTTTAACAAGTTTGACTGGTGTCGTCCGACTCTACCTCTCATCAAACTCTGACTCTCTACAGCAAAATGTAAGGCAAGCTGGGCAGGTGAGTTATTATCACTGCGGAGGATGTGACCGAGCATTCTCCACCGTGCACGAGCAACACGCTCACTTAGTGGTACAACTTCGCAGCGTTTGTATAGAGTCACATTTCGTATGACATTAGGGTAGGTCATGCCGATGATCGTACGGAGATGATTCCTGTGGCAGACATCAAGTTTTTGAAGGAGTTGTTTAGATGTTGCCCAACTGTTGCAATTATACATCAGTATTGAAACAACTTGTGCTTCATATATCTTGAGTCGAATCTTCAAGGGTATACGTCTACATTGTTCCCAGACTTTTTTGTAGTTCTGAAAAGCAATGTTAGCAAGTATACATCGTCTCTTGACATCTTCGATGCTACACAACTTAGAGCCTAAAGAGATAGATGACCTCCAAGGTTCTCTACCTCTGAGTGTTTCTCCTTTGTTATCAACCTCGATCTTGCCGGCCAGATAGAAATGGGTGAACTCGGTTTTTGACTCATTGACAAAAAGATTCCACTCTTCCAATATCTCTTTACATATTGGCAACAAAGACTCCAAATTGCTTTTATCCTCATCAGTAAAATCAACATCATCTGCGTACTCCCACTCGAGGGGTAATAGATTCTCAGCTATGGGAGGGTTAGGTCTTAGATAGGACATAACAGCACGCAGGTGGTAAAGTGCTGCTGCCAGATATAGAGTGAACAAGTTTCCAGACAAACTGTCGCCTTGAAAAGCTCCAATCGTGACAATAAACTCTCCCGATATTGTTGAGTTCACTTTGATCTTCAGTTTAGTATTTGCGAGCAAATACCTTACCAGTCGAATGTCATCCTCACTGGGGGGGGGGGGGGGGGGGGGGGCCAATGGCATAAATGGAGAAAGTGGAGAATTACTCATGGGTTTTTCCATTTTCTCCATAGAAATAGTCTCCATTTTATGCCATTTTATGCCATTGAAAACCTGAAAAATTTAGAATTTCGAGAAAAATTATTTTAAAAAAAGATATTTTCGGCCAATAATGAACAGAGAATCATGAAACATGGAGAAAAGTGGTTTTCAGAAAAACTTTGAAAAATGTTGACTTAGAAAATGTTCGGTCCGAGTCATTTACGATACGTACCTCCCGTATCGAGAGCTCCCGATTCCGAGCTCGTGTTGCAAAGGGGAGGCCTGCCTTCCGAGATCGCATTGCCTCGAGTCCGGGGTTGTGTATCGGGGGGAGGGTGTGGACTTCGAAAAAATATTTTCGGCAAATGGTGAACAGAGTAGCATGAGGCGTGGAGGGGGGCGGTTTTCGGAAAAAATTTGAAAAGTTTTGACCGAAAAAATATTTTCGGCTTAAAATGAACAAGGTAGCATGAAACGTGGAGAAAAGTGTTTTTCAGAAAAACTTTGAAAAATGTTGACTTAGAAATTACCCCTCGGTACACAATTTTGGACTCAAGGCTTCCCCCTGGTAATGCGATCTCGGAAGGCAGGCCTCCCCTTTGCAACACGAGCTCGGAATCGGGAGCTCTCGATACGAGAGGTACGTATCGAGAATGACTCGGGCCGAAAATTTTCTAAGTCAAAATTTTTCAAGGTTTTTCTGGGGACCGCTTTTCTCCGCGTTTCATGCTGCCCTCTTCGTTGTTAGCCGAAAATATTTTTTTGGTTTTTCGGTTTATCGAGGTCTGCACTTACCCCTCGATACACAAATTTGGACTCGAGGCTTCCCCCTGGTAATGCGATCTCGGAGGGCAGGCCTCCCCTTTGCAGTGCGAGCTTGTTTCGACTGTCGAGGATGTAGGTCTCACTTCTCAGTGTCTATTACTCTCCCCTATTACTCACTCCTGCTGTAGCCTGTAGAAATAACTTTACACTAGGCTTGAGTAATTATGAGTTTGCCTGAAGTGTGCCTCTACTAACCTAGTATAAGCATCTAGTAGCCTACTGTGAGCTTTCATAAGCTTGTTACGCCCCTAGTAAGCGTAAATAAACATGTTAGGATGTCCAATTTAGGTGTTAAATGGTGTTAAAGATGAAATTTCGAAGACAAAATTCATGGCATAAAATGGAGAAAATGGAGAATTACTCATGGGTTTTTCCATTTTCTCCATAGAAAAAGTCTCCATTTTATGCCATTTTATGCCATTTTATGCCATTGGCCCCCCCCCCCCCCTCCTCACTACAACCAGCATCAGCTAAAATGTCAAGTAATACCGACCTCTTTATGGTATCAAAAGCAGAGGACATGTCAATGCCCATCTTATGAAGAGACCAGCGTTTTTCCTTGACAACTGATACTAGTATTCGCTGGGTCCAAACGATATTTGCACAACTATGGCCAGGTTTATAGGCATTCTGCCAAGGACCAGTGTACTGAGATACTTGCCTTTGGATGCGCTTTAAGACTATCATGGACAATATCTTTCTAGTACCGTTAAGTAGGCAAAGTGGGCGCAAACTCTTAGGGGGGCCTAGTGGCTTTCCAGGTTTTTGGAGCGGAGTAAGGTATCCCTCTGTGAAAGAAGGTACATGTTCATGGAGCTCAAAAGATCGATTAGTAAGTTGTGCAAATGTGGAATAAAAGATTTCAGGAGAGTGTTTGAGGAACTCGTTTGGGATCCCATCTGGTCCAACAGCTTTACCGTTCTTGAGTTTCTTGGCCGCAAGCTCAACTTCAAACGCTGTAATGGGGTTTTGAAGGGGCCTAGGGTTACCTGTGAACGGTTGTAGTGGTGGTTCACTGTCAGGTCCAGTGTAGTGTTCTTCAAAGTACTGGCGAATGATTTCAGCCTTGTCTCGTTCATTATCTACCAGTTGGTTGTCAGTGTTGAAAACAGACACAGAGCCTGCACCCGTTTTCTGTTTGCCTGATAGTTGACGAGCAGCTTCAAACATTCTCCGTCCTTCGTCTATGGTGGCTATAGAGTCAGCTAGGCTGTTTGCTAACTCAACTCTCAATGTTTTCAACCGTTTAGTAATGTCATTAGAGAGCCTGTTGATTTTAGCTCTGAGAGCTGTCCTGTCTCTGTATTCGTTGTTGTTCAGTTGTTGTAAAAGTTGTTTCCTTTCTTCAGACATGCTAACAACTTGACTGTCAGAGGAATGATTCCTCTTTCGCTGTGGCTCGCGAAAACCCACAGTGGAAACAGCAGCTTCTTTAACTACACCAAAAAGCATATCAAATTGCTGTTCCGTGTTGTTGGAGGTAAAGTCAGGATCTGATACAGTTTGCTCAAGTTTCTGATGAAGTTCTTGCTGATATTCTTGTTGAGCTTGTTTGCTTCCAATCAAGGTTGTTGTGTTATAACTCTTCTGAAATGCTCTGCTCTCCCTGTACAAATTGAAGCGCTGCGAAAAATCTGCCTTGGCAACAACAAGTTTGTGGTCACTGCGGTGCTTTGTACCTGCATATGACCTGGCATCAGTTAGCAGTGCCTTGCTTCTGGACTTGCAGAGTATGAAGTCAATCTGTTGGAAATAAGATTTACTTTTCCAGGTTGCTCGATCCCGAACCCAACCAGTCCGTGTGGTAATGTGTCTGCTGCTATGGGAGAATGAAGTGTTGGCAGCAAACAGGCCATTAGCAGTGAGAAAGTGTAGCAACCTTTCACCGTTTTCATTCCTCCTCCCAACACCATGTCTACCAATATTCACTTGTAAACCATTTTCTACATCAACAGGGCTTCTTTTGCCAAGTTTGGCATTAAAGTCACCTAACATCCATACTTCAAATCTAGCAGGAACACTGATAGCCTCGAGTAGCTCATCATAAAATTGGGTCGCTAATCGGGGATTCTGAACTGATTTGGGATTCGTAGGGCTGTAACAATTAACAATTCTGATATGACAAGGTGGTTGATCCACCCTTTTAGCACTTAATTTAAAGTCCATATAAACAACTCTGTCACTGATCTGATGATGAGATACTATACATTCCAAAAAACGCTTGTTAACAATAAACCCAAGTCC